GAATTGATGTCTTGCTAGATGAAATGTTGGTGGAAAGTGTTAAATTTCAAGTATTTGTTGTTTTATTGAAAAAATAAATAGGATATATAATATATTAATCCTTGAGACTTTAAATTATGATTTACAATGAGATAAATATGTTAAAATTCTCTGTTTTCATATTGGAGACTGCATATTAGAAATTAATACTCATAATCAGGACTTAGATCATTGAAAAATGTGAATTCACACAAAGTAGTATTATGCCAATACAGGTTTAAGGTTAACTCAAATTTAAATTGTTATAAAACAAGGAATCCATGAAATACATATTATTTACAGTATCTTTCTGCATTGGCTCCTTGAAAATCTAAATCTGCTTAATCAGAGGGCAGAATCGACAGAAAGGGAGAAGTGTAAAGCCTCAAGACTTCTTTGCTATTCTCAGGACTTGTTTGGATAATGCAAATAAAACATTGTAAATGTATGCTAACTGAAACTTGGGCTTTCTAAGCTAGCATACTGTGGTCCCACTGTCACTAGCAGGAACAGGATTTCCAAGTCCTAGTATCATCTCTCCCTCTCTCCCTCTCTCCCTCTCTCCCTCTCTCCCTCTCTCCCTCTCCCTCTCCCTCCCCCACCTCTCTCTCTCCACACACACACACACACACACACACACACACACACACACACACACACCCCACAAATACATCCTCCTTCCTCTAAAACAGTACTCCCTTCTCACCGCACAACCTATATTAGTCACTGAACATCTCATAACAAAACCAGTAGATCCTTACAATTCTCCTGCATGAAACCTTTAGGCCTCCCACTTCCTGCTCAGGCTCAGCACCAAGAACTCTCAGATTTCCAAACTGTTTGGAGGAGTTCAGAAATGATTGGCTGAGCTAGCGAGAGGGGAAGAGGCATCAGCAAACCATAACTCTAGGATTTACATAGTCGGCTCCTCCCTAGCTATCACCATAGCAACTCAAGTGTATTGGTTTTCACCAAAGGGCCGTGTCTGGGGTTGCTATGGAGATAGACGCTGCAACTTGCAAAGCAGTTAGGATTCAGGAAAAGCTCAGAAGGCTCAGCAAATTACTGCGGTGTATTGCCTTCTTCCACATCTTTATCGAGAAAGGGCTTTCCACTTGATTCCTTCCATGGAAGACGTAACTTCTGAAGAACAGGTAAAAGGAAACCAAGAGCTCAAAGAAGCAGGGCAGCCATGGGAAAAAAGTATCAGCTCTCTCCAAGATCTGGAACCTAAGCCAGCTGAGCCCTCAGGAGTGGAAAAGGGGGCAGAAACTGGATCACCTCCCAAGGGCAGCCCTCCAAGGAGCCCCCCGTCTCTGAGTGACCCCAGAAGCCCACATGCATCACTTTCCCCCTCCTCTCTTCAGGAACTTTCTTTTATTCCTTCTACCCTGGCCCTGGCTCCTGAACCAAAGAATCTTACCACACCCTGCCCTTCAGACAGCACAACCACAGACATCCTTAAAGCTGGGATACCTCATCCTGACCTGCTGGAACAACCACCAGGTAACAAAGAACCGAGTCATCATCTCACAAGCCCATCCAACATTGGTCAGCAGTTCCAGCAATCCAGATCTCACCTGTATGGGCCAAGGAATGTGAGCCGTAACCACTGTAAACAAAAAGGGCTGGAATCTGATGTTTCTCAGGAGGAAAACTCAAACAGTAACTATAGTCTAGATCAGCCTGAGCCACAAGCTTTTGAAGAGGCTCCCAGCACCCTGGAGACTGCCATTCAGAATGCGAAGGCTTATCTAATAAAGACGAGCAGCAAGTCTGGCTTCAATCTGTGAGTCTCAAACCAAAAGCAAACACATGGTGTGTTTCTCGGTGTGACAGTGTGTTTCTGTGGGCGAACAGATTATATCTTAAAAAATGTATTAATGAAAGAGTGAAGGTGTGCATTGTAGTGTAGTTAAGTCAAGGCTTGAGACAGCTGTATTCCAGTGTGTTGGGGTCCCTGTTTCTTCTTTTCGGATGTGTCTTCCTGTTGATGTGCATAGGAAAACAGTAGATGACCTAAGCATCTGTCTCTGGCATGCACATGGAAAGTTCTGATGGTGTTCAAGGGATCCTGGGTTCAGCACCACGAACCTCCATCACTGTAGGCATCTGAGACGGGAATTAAGAGACAAAAGATTCTCTCTCTCTCTCTTTCCTCCCCCCCCCCCACTCTTCTTCTCTCTCTCTCTCCTTCTTTTCTTCACTTTCCTTTTCAAATAAATAAACATCTTAGGACAAAGGGAGAGTTAGTGACACCTTATCCACACAAGACTCAAAGAAAGGTCACTCCCTGGTGGGAATTCTTCTAGTTTCTTCACTGACCTAGGCATACAGAAATGAAGGAATTAAGGAATTTTAGTCTTCAAAGAAACGGCCCCCCTCCAGAATACTTGTGAAAAATGATTCTCTATTGCAGGGATTGTGTGTCTCTAATCTGAGCATTCTTGTGCTTGCATAACTAGATCGACTAGATCTTTCTCCACCTAGGTTGGTACTGAGATGGCCAATCATCTTAATTTACATGGGCTATATTTATTTGCAAAATGAAAGTTTGGTGTCCTAACAGAGCACTCAATCAGGGGCAAACTAGAAAAATTAGTCATTATGCAGGACATTTTCCAGACATTATCCAGAACTCAGGGTATTTTATTCAGGTTTCTCTTAAAATGTAATCAACACTGGTCCAGTATTGTTCTATCCATCTAAGAATATCTGTAATTTAAAAGCTTATGACAATATAGATTTCTAAAGAATTTTGTTTTCTGAGTTACATACTCATATAGTCAACAAAATTTTAGTGCTAGAAAAAACTAATCTCCACCTATGGGCTGGCATGTCATATGGGCATTGATTCATGATCCTACTGCTCCACTTCCCATCCAGCTCTCTACGTATGACCTGGAAAAGCAGGGCAGGCTGACCCAGTGCCTGAGCCTCTGCTCCACCTGGGAGACCCAGAAAAAGATACTGGTTCCTGACTTCAAATCAGTTCAGCCCTGGCCTTTGGGGAGTGAACCAGTGGATGAAATATCTCCCACCCTCTATCTGTTTTTCTCTCTATATAACTCTGCCTTTACAATAAAAATAAATAAATCATAAAAAAATAGAAAAGAAAATGCAAAACTGATCAATTATTTTTATAATGAGGAGACTGAGTCATGGGAAATTTGCTTCACTCAAATCCGTGGTCTCCCAGTCCTCACTGGCTTGTATCTTTCTATCATTGTACTCCAGCTATGAGGTTTAGGCAGTGAACACGCTGCTTGCTTTGCCCAGCAAGCTTCTTTCTCTTTCCTGTGCAAGGCTGGATTTTCATTATTTAAGACTCATACTTCATGAAACTCTAATATTACAGCTTGTGTCTCTCTTTTGTAGCACTCAAAGGCATTATACATATATATGTATGTATACCATGAATGTGCATATATACATGTATGTATAATTGATGCAAAAAATAGAATGCAAAGGAAAGCAATAGACTTAAGACAGAGCCAATAAAATTTAGAGGCCAAATTGATTTTTATATGGATGGGGGAGGGGAATTGAATGATAGAAATCATTGTATTTACACACTGAAAATCTATGAAGGTTTTATGTTACTGAAGTGCACTACAATTCAGCTAGCTGAATCTGAATGAAATCCTTCATTATAACATCTTGACGTATATGTTTACTGAATTTTTTCTGTTTGGGTAGATATGATCATCTTTCTAATGTGCTGACCAAGGTACTAGATGAACGTCCTGATGATGCTGTTGACATCATTGAAAACATTAGCCAAGATGTGAAAAAGGCACAATTTAACAAAAAGTTAGATACACTACAAAATGAGAATGAGATGCTTCCAACATATGAAATAGCAGAAAAACAAAAGGATCTTTTTCTCCAGAGACATTTGGAAGGAGCTGAGCAAGACTCAGAAGAGGAAATAGTAAGTCACTACTGTACATTTTAATTGTTAAATGTTGGAATGATTATTAATGTGTGACCTTAAATGCATACCAACTGTCTTTTACAGCTGCATAAACAGTATGTACATATTATGTTTTTTAAAGGTTTCTCTGATAAACCTCATTTCACACCACTCATTTTCTTGTTTAGTGTTTAACTTTTTCCACATTGTGTCTTAGTATGTTACAGGTACTAGAAGATTTAAGTTAATTCTTTATTTCAGAGAAAATGGCATCTTAATTATTATGTATTCCAAATAATCAGGTATAGGATCTCAGTGACCTCAGAAGATCATGTTTTGTTGAATAATGAATAAATGTCAAATAATTTTAAACTAGATTTTACTTCTAATTGTCTATTTTCTCTTTAATTTATTAGGAAATGTTTCAGTCCTATAATTTTATTTATACTGTCTCCAAACATGAGTCCCTTATATAATGCATTGATATTATGCATATTATGTTGATGATACATAATACAAAAGGAGAAGAATACTTTTTAAAATCTTGTTTTACAAGTTGTTAAAATATTTGCAGAACAATTCATGACAGAGTGGGGGTAAGTTACAGTTAGAGAATGAAGTGTGACTCATACTAACATTTTACTTTCAGAAATTTAACAAAGCAATCTAATATGCTGTTTCCTAAATGCTTGTGTTGTTATAATGTATAGCATACCTGTTAAGTTTTAAAATTCTCTTATCCTTGGATAATTTAAAATGTGCCTATATGTTGGCAAATTTGGTAGTTGAAGTGAGAAAAATGCTCTGTCCAATAAAAGTAAGATAGGCAGGCATCTGAGATAGTGTGTAGGTGCACTCTCCAAGGCTGAAAGAATCCAAGATGAAGCAATTCAACATGATGCAGTTGGATCAGAGCACTTAGTTGGAAGGGGCAAGTGTCGAGGAACTGACATCAGCCTGTTTTACTAAGGTGACATTTGCTTCAGTTACATGAGGTAATTTGGGGAAATTCTATATTTGCATGTCACAAAGACATTCACATGAAACCATTAATCAAAGAATGATGAGAATTCAGTTTAAGAATGGGGCATGTTGGTAGTACAGGGAAGTTGCATGGACGCTGCATTCGGGAGGCCAGAGGAGCCAGGCTCTGCAGTCTCACAGCACCCCCCATCCACCTATGACATTTCACATAGCTCTAGGTCCATCTGTTTGTCCATCTGCTGGAATCAGAAAAGAAACTCATGCACTGATTAAAACAAACCAAAAAAAAATTTCTCTCCTTTCCAGCTGAACAAAAATGTGCAGTTAATACTTTGGCGCTTGAAAATGCAGTAGTGAATGTGGAACCAAGCCTGTCTGTATATCTGGTAGCTCTTTCTTGCTTTGATTTTTTTTTCCTTACCAGTATTCTGCCTAATGTTTGCTTCTGTGATGGTTATATTGCCTAGCAAGCACACCTGTGGTTGTGAAAATAGTATAGCAAAAAGAAAAAAGAAAACTCCCCAATTATTGATGTACTAGATTTGTGTTTGTCTCTTAAACAGTTCTAGTTTCACCTCACATGGAATAATCAGGAAAAGTGTAAAAATTCAAAAGTGGAATAAAAAATTTTATCAGTTGAAAAAAAAAAGAATGGGGCATGGATTAATTAGACACACTGCATGAAGAAACGGGGCTCTGTACCCAACACTAGGGTATGGAATCACAACACAGGCAAGCAATATTTTTATCCTAAAACTTGAACCCTTTACCACGTTTCATAAGTTCCTGGTAAAGGGTCTAGAATGGGTTTAGAATCTGGGAAAGTCAAGTGAACAAGTGAAGATGAGATGCACCACCTTAGAGAATTAAAACAAAACAAAACAAACTGCAGGAATGGGAAGAGAAGCAAGACTTCAAAGCATTGAAATACTGGCTGTATGACCAATCTCTGAGAATAGCATTGTCTGACTTTGTTTTAGAAAAATAAGTCGTAATAACGTAGAAAAAAATAAAAAATCAATTTTCACAATTGGGACAAGGAAAATTTTACAATCCTTCTGGAAGAAGCGAGTGTTATAATACAGTGGAGTAAGCATCAGTTTGACAGGACTCACATACCACTTCAGAATGCTAATTCCAGTCTTGGATGTTCCACTTCCAATCAAACAATCTTGCTTAAAGGCAGCAGGAAATGACTCAACTGTTTGGGTCCCTGTCAAATCAAGTAAGAGATAGAGGAGTACAGTAGTCAAAGAGAATGAAAAAAGTTAGCATGGGGAGAGCATTAGAATTCTTTTGTAGTAGAAAAAGTGTCAGTGATGGTGACTAACATGGCAGAAATGAGAAAAAAAGGGGGAATAAAACCACCCCAACAAATATTTAGACATCAGAATCGGTAAGCTCCTAGTTAGAATTGGTAGGATTCTAACTAATCAAACACTAGAGCTAATGAGAAGAAGTCAGAGAAAGCAAAGTTGATGCTCTCTAAAGGTTGAGAACTGACAGAATGATAATATCACTAAGGACGATAGAGCATATTTTAAAAAGAGGAAAAAAGAAATAAGAATGCAAAAACCACTATATTTTACACTAAAAGTATAATATGGTTAAGAGAAGAATATTTATAATGAGAGCAAAATGCTCTCAGGTGTTTTGCATCTCAACGATTGAAACTTCTTTGCAAGTTGCTCCTGTCTCAATTAAGGTAACTTCCTAAGTTTCCATGAATATTTTTGCACATTGTGCTTCAGACTCAACTTGCTCATTTTCCCTTATTCTTTTTATTGAATTATCTATGTATCTCTTCATTAACTGAAATTCAAAATTACTTATTAAATCCAGAGTTAAATATCTTACTACATTTTCTCTTCAGTTAGAGTCACATCTGAACATGTTTTAATAAATTCCTTTTATTTGTCCTATATGTTAGCTGATGTATGGGATACTCCACAGATTTTTACTACTTTTTATTTTACCATGTGTTTCATAAATATTTCTTAGTTTTTAAAATGTGGCATATAAACATGTGCAATTATATAATCATATTACGTTCTGAACATAAAATATATTAATTATGCTATTATTACAAATTATTTCACTATGTATAGTAGTCAATTTTTATAAAGCAGGAATGTTAGGATATTTTCATTGAAAATAGTTATCAGATTTTCTCTAAGATACACATATAAAGCTGGTAGCTATTAAAATACATTGAGTAGGGCCCAGAGTGATAGCTCAATCACTAAATCCTTACCTTGTCAGCTCTGGGATCCTGTATTGGCAATAGTTTGTGTCCTGGTTGCTCCACTTCCCATCCAGCTCCTTGCTTAGGGCCTGGGAAAGCAGTGATGAAGAAGCCAAAGCCTTGGTATCCTGCATTAGCGTGGGAAACCTAAGGGAAGCTCCTGGCCTCTGGTTTTAGATTGACTAAGCTTCAACTATTGCAATCATTTGGAAGAGTGAACCAGTAAATGGAAGATCGTTTTCTCTGTTTCTCCTTCTACTTGTAAATCTAATCTGCCTTTCCAATAAAATAAAATAAAAAAGTAAATATTAAAAAAATTGAGTATGTGGGTACCAGTGTGGTGGTGCAGCACATTAAGCTACCACCTACAGGGCCAACATCCCATTTGAGCAGTAGTTCAAGTGCTCCCTGTCAATGCACTTAAGATTAAAGCCAAAAATAGTCTAGGTTCATTGGCTCTTATAGTCCACAAGAAATTCATGAGAAGTACCTGGCTCCTGACTTGAGAATGGTCCAGCTCCAGTCATTGATGCCATTTGGGACTGAACCAGCAGAAGGAAGGACACTGTCTCTCCCTTTCTGTCTATGCAACTGTGTCTTTCAAATAAAAAGAGCCTGGGGATGGGGTGAAGAAGTTACACTGAAAAGAGATACATTTATTGAAGCTACACTTCTTGAACTATTTCTTGATAATAGATAGAACTAAAGTTCAGCAATTATAATTTGATCTAAACTAAAAGAAACGTCTAAGAAGCGTTGAAATTAAAAATATAGTTAATAATGAGATGTATTAAAGAAAGAAGTAAATTTTCTCTTTATGGAAAAAAAATTAACTGTGGCATTTGTTTACACAGGTAGAAAATCCTCTCCCAAATGTGATGGAGTCAGCTTTTTATTTTGAACAAGCAGGAATTGGTTTGGGCACAGATGAGACTTTCCGTGTATTTCTTGCTCTTAAGCAACTCACTGACACACATCCAATCCAAAGATGCCGTTTCTGGGGGAAAATCTTGGGTGTAGAAATGAATTACATTGTAGCTGAAGTGGAATTTCGTGAGGGGGAAGATGAAGATGAGGTGGAAGAGGAAGATGTAGGTGAAGAGAGGGATGAAGAAGAAAGTGAATCTGATGAAGATGAGGAGGATGGATTACCAAAGTCCATTTATAAGGCCCCACCAGCCATACCAAAAGAAGAAAACAGAACAGGAGCAAACAAATATGTCTATTTTGTTTGCAATGAACCAGGAAGACCATGGGTGAAGCTACCATCAGTGACACCTGCACAAATTGTTGTTGCAAGAAAAATTAAAAAATTTTTCACTGGGCGATTGGATGCTCCCATCATAAGTTACCCACCTTTCCCAGGAAATGAAAGCAACTACTTACGAGCACAAATTGCACGAATTTCAGCAGGGACTCATGTCAGTCCTCTAGGATTTTATCAGTTTGGTGAAGAGGAAGGAGAGGAAGAGGAAGAACTAGAAGGTGGGCGAGAGAGCTTTGAGGAAAACCCTGATTTTGAAGGCATCCAAGTGACTGATCTGGTGGAATCTCTAGCCAATTGGGTTCACCATGTGCAGCATATTCTCCCTCAGGTAGGACCTTTGCATTCCTGGTCTATCATCCTTATCATCCTAGCAAATAGTTATTAAATTACCCTTACAATGCACAAAAAATCGTAAAATAGGACTTCAAATTCTAGATGGAGAAAGAGATCATGAAAGACCAAGTAAGCCCTCAGTGTACTGTGTACTTGCCAAGTATAGAGGATATTCAAACACAGCTTGAATCTTTCAGATAGAAAATAAAATGATAGCCTTGTGGACTGTTTGATAGGTAACACACAACTTTAGATGGATGCATATTCTGAAACTATTGTATTCTTTATGTTAAATATAGGTGGATATATTAATTTTAAAGCTAGCTCTTATACTCTATTATGCAGGGAACATTTATGCAAGAATAAATTATTATAAGAGAAAATAAACAGTTCTATTTAACAGTTATGCAGCACTTGTGTCAACTGCTCTTCTCCATATACAGTAAACATATGTCCCAATATATGGTATATATGTGGATGTATGCATAACATACTCTATATCTATATCTGTATATAGATATAAATGGTAACCATATACTCCTGAAATAGTAATATTTTCCTTATTTCACAGATGAGAAAATTGAGGGAGAAACTTGAGGCCACATGAAAAAGAAAACAGAGTCTCAGCAACAGAGTCATACGTGAGGCTGTACAGAATAGAACCATTAATCCATCTGTCTAAACACTTTGCTGTATTACTTCATTTGCCAGGAGAAAATCATACTTATACTTTCATCTAAATAAGAGATACTCTTAGGTTTCTCCAGTTAATAACTTTATGATCCTGCCCTCAAACCTCTATAGCTTTCCTTATTATCTCATTTAAAATGTTGTCATTTTCATCATCATCATTGTCATCACTTTATCTGTTTTATTTATTACAAATAATTAAAATATTTTAATGTTTGCCAGTAATATTTAGCTCAATTTAAAACATAAATGAAATTCAAGTTCCATAACTTCAAAAGTTAGAAAATTCTTAAAATAAGCAGTAGAACCTTGTATGAAATAACAGATCAATATAGCACATGGTAACTATGTCTTGAATTAATGAAAATTGACTAAATTCACACAATGTAACTTTCAACTGGATGATTGCTTAAATCCAAGTTAATACTCTGAGTTTTATAAAGAGAATCTTGTGACATTCATTCCTAGGGTCGCTGTAATTGGTTCAACCCTGTGCAAAAGAATGAAGAGGAAGAGGAAGAAGAGGAAGAAAAAGGAGAAGAGCCTGATTATATGGAACAAGAAGTGGGACCTCCTCTTTTAACACCAATCTCTGAAGATATAGGTAATTTTACATACACAGACACATACACTGTATAACATCCTTTGTGTATTAGATGAGAAATATATAGGAGGAATCTCTAGGGCAAGATTTGGATGAAGCGGTCAAGATGTTTGGAACATCCATATGCCATCCTGGAGTCCTGGGTTCAAGTCCCGATACTGCTCCTAGTCCAGCCTTTGACTATTATGCACCTTATTGAGGGTGGTGGTGGTAGCTCATGTACTGGATCCCTGACACACAGCAGGAATGTGGCAAATTAAGGCCCAGCTCTTGACATTTGCCTGGCTTAGATGTAGAAATGTAGATATTTGGGGTTTCTCTTCCTCTCTCCTTCTCTCTCTCTGTCTCTCTCTCTCTCTCTCTCACACACACACACACACACACACACACACACACACACACACACACACACACACACACACACACACAGATGAAATAAGTATTTATAAAATTCTAGAAAGAAATCTCCTGAAAGCGAGCAGTAGCCTGCGTTTCAGCCTTCTCCTTTTCATGTGCTCTGGCACAGAGGGATGTGAAGACTAACTGGTCAGTACAGCATTCTCTGACAAACACTGCAGGGGTGACACAAGGAGGTAAATAGTTTTCATTGCAAACGCTGGCAGCTATTTTGGGAAGCATTTGTGTCATGAATGGTGTAGTGGTATTTAAGTATCATATAGTACTGGTTTTTGCTTCTTGTTACACACTAATTCCTGTCCCCACATCCGTGTTTCTTCCTAATTTGGGAGGAAAAACTATGCTTGTATCTGTCTTTTTAATGATAATGATTTGGTCTCTGATAATCAAATGTTACGAGACTTTTCCCTTACTAATACTTCTCTGTTACAAAAATGGATACTCATATATTTCAGGTGGCTAAACATGAATAATATACACTTATGCTATATGCTAAGCTGTTATTTTAGCTTTTCTTTATCTAAAAAACTTTTTAAAAATAGTTTGACAGATAGAGATAATGAGATAGAATTACTGGCCATCACCCTCCAGTGTTGCTGTCCCGCAGCGATGGACTTGGTGTACGGAGCCGATAATAACACGCGTGGACCTTGACTGATGGTCAAAGCTGAAGTTTATTAGGGACATCAGACTTTATACACCGAGAGTCTGTATGGGATAAGGGAGGAAGTATTGAGCTCATCAACAAAACCCATCAACTGTTTCCATACTCTTGATTGGAATTCCTTTTGTTTTGTATATTCCACCAGGTGTTCTCATCTACATGCTGTTTACTCAACTTATACAAATTATCTTCCCTAGCCAGTTGGTTGCTTTCATGCAAATACTGTCCAGTGAACTGCAATCCTCTGCTTGTTGACCTTCCAGGGTCACAATGTCCTCCTACACCCCAGTTGCTTCAAACAGCAGGTAGGCCAGATTGAAGCTAGGAGTCTCCCTTGTGGTCAGCAAGAACCCATTTACCTGAGCTGTTATCCGCCGCCTCCTAGGACTGCAGTGCCAGGCTGAAGTCAGGATCCAAAGCAGGGACTCCAACCTAACTGTTCTCATTTGGGATGTGAGTGTGTGAATCATCGAGTTAAACAAATTCTCCATATTTTAATACTGTATTAAATATATTTATGATTTATACAAAATAGACTTTAGCTACACAGTAAATATTTATCTATTTAGGATTCTCACTTTTGCTTTTTTGGGGGGGTGGTGGTGTTCCAGAGATTCAGAATATACCTCCTTGGACTACACAGCTATCTTCAAATCTCATTCCACAATATGCTATTGCTGTCCTCCGATCCAACCTTTGGCCTGGTGCATATGCTGTTTCCAATGGCAAGTAAGTATTTGATCACTTGTAAAGTAATTAATTTAATTATCCAAGTTCTAGAAACCTTAAGCTATAATGAGAATAATAGGCAGTTATTATAACTGATCTTTGTGTGTGTGGTCTTTATTATACCTGATCTGAGGTGTATGGCAAAAAAAATTCCAACAATAACATCTATTCACAGCAAAGCATCAAATTCAGACTTCCATTGTTTTACTTAATTATCCAAATTATTATGATAAAATAATCTATAATTATTTTTCATCTATAATTGTTCAATTGGTTTATTCACGCATTTGGTAAATTGAAGCAATTTTAAGAAACGTTTGAATTGATTTAAGTCTTAGATCATCTTTGTTAGACATCTTGGTAAAAGTGTTTAATATGGTTTGTAAAATGGGTTACTTGAGCTATCACGTTCAAAGAAATTAGGATCTAGAGGATCCCAAAGCCCTTTTATTCGTCCCTAGAACATACATTTCTTTTGTATTTTCCTCCTGTTTCTTTCCTAATGTCAAAAGCTCAGCTGAACTGGAGAAAGCTGAGCTGCCATGTGTCAGAGGTACTCATTAAAGCAATAACAAGCAAGAAATGAATTAAGCCTTCAATCATTTCCCATGATTGCATGGGCAAGGAAAAGTACTGACTTTGTATGATTGCTTCCTGTGGAATGGGCCACCAGGGGGTCAGGTGGAAAAATGTGTCATTGATGCAAGGGTGGTGATGAGCTCACTGATCGGGCTCCTGTAGTTATAAAGACATGGAAAGCAGGAAGGAGTGGGAGGGTTGGACATTGAAAACTCGAGAGTATAACAACAGGGACAAAGGTGCCTACGGCTTCTGGAAAGCATCAGATACAGACATGGAATTGAAGTGTCTGGGCTGGGAATGTAGATAGGCACAGAGCACAGCCAGCCTGAGACCAGTGTCCTTGACAGAAACCCTGGATGGATTTTGGAGATGCAATGCATTGACTATGAATTGAGGGGTGTGGGAAGAGCACAGTTTATTTGTGACGTCTGCAGACCAAACCTATGGTCAGCCTGAAAAATAACATATAGGGTTTTTTCTTTTAATTACTATTATTATTTTACATGATAGTTACATAATACAGTTTCGTAGGTATATTTCCACTTCCATCATTTTTGCCCCTATTATCACAGTAGTATAGTCCTTTAGTAACCATCACAAGTTTAACAATCTGCTATGTAAGTGTATCATGGCATTGTAATAAGCCCAACCCCACCCCCAGGAAACGATAGCTTGACTTTTTAAAATCTTTTGGTGGGAAGTAGTTAACTTATTCCCTTCAAAATGTCCAAATACGCTAGTCTTAACTTGTGCTCTAGGTGCAGGGTATACTCTAAAAGGGTGTGACCAGCCAGTTTTCTAAGCAATTTGATTCAGAATAATTTCCTAACACTGAAGGGGAGGAGGTTAATTAGTCTAGCAGTTAGTACACTGGGATGTCATGCCCCACATCAGAGTACTTCAGTTCAATTCTTGGCTCTGGCAGTTAATGCAGATCCTGAGTCAGGGATGGCAGACAGCCACTGTGAGAACTGGCTTTTGCTTTGACTGCAGTGATTTAGGGTTCAAACTAGTGGAAGGGAGATCTGGACATTTTGAATGTATTGTTTTATTTTAAATTACAGTGCACAAATACTTCATTATTCCAGCAGAGGCAACATTTCTTATTTAAAATTACTTTTTTTTTCTTACAGAAAGTTTGACAATTTCTACATAGGCTGGGGCCATAAATATAGTGTGGACAATTACACACCCCCAGTTCCACCACCAGTTTACCAAGAGTACCCCAGTGGCCCAGAAATTACAGAAATGGATGATCCCAGTGTGGAACAGGAGCAAACTTTCAGAGCTGCACAAGAAGATGCTGCGCTTGATTCTGAAGAGAATGAAGAAACTGAGGAAGAGGAGGATGAAGAAGACGATGATGACTAGGAATAAAGTTAGCCCAGTTTTATGTGGGATGGATTGTATAAATTGGGTTACATATGTAAAACTAAATGTTGTTTATAGGTTGCTGAATGACATGTAACCACATAACCATTCTGATCTGACAAAGGAATATTTACTTGTATGTTTTCACTGTAAAAAAGGATGTGAGCTTGACATATGACAAATGCTGAGATCAAATCCACAAGATCTTGGAAACCAAAATTTAAGTATGAAAGGATTCAGAAGCAAAAAGTACTGATAACTATGGAACTAGTTTTCTTTAAGGAATAACAAAGGCATATTTCCCCATGCATTTGCACTTGTTGATGGTTTGGCATTTGATTACTGTGAATAAATGTTCTCTCTGGGGAGCATTATTAATTCCATGACTTGCTTAGACTGTGGGAAGACTCAGTTGTTCAACTGATTCCTTCTCAGATTCCTTCATCCTATAGAAATCTACTCGAGCAGATTGAAGAAAAATGAAGAGATGTTTAGCTGAGATACTCAGACTTTAGATTTGATTTATCATTGCTTCTGTAATAATTCTCATTCACTACAGACATTTTTACATTCTGTTATGTACCAGGCACCTCAAGGCTACAAAAAATAGGCACTGAGTCAGATCAGTTTTCATTGAGGGGGGGAATATAAATTGAAATAGAAAATTAGGGTAGAATGCAATTTATCAAGTATTGTGATTTAAATGTTACAAAGAACTGAAGGACTGCTCAAATTTTGTGATAAGGATCAATTACAAATAATTACAACCTATCGTCATTGTTTTTGTAAGAAACTCTTTTAAGATGTCATGGTGGGCCTGACATGAAAGCTTAGTAGTTAAATCCTTGCCTTGCATATGCCAGGATTCCATGTTGCTGCCAGTTCATGTTCCAGCTGCTCCACTTCCCATCCAGCTCCCTACTCGTGGCCTGCAAAGCAGACAAGGATGGCCCAAAGCCTTGGGACCTTTTGCCCCTGTGGGAGACCTGGAGGAAGCTCCTGGCTCCTGACTTCAGATCAGCTTAGCTCTGGTTGTTGCAGCCACTTGAGGAAGGAACCAGTGGACAGAATATTTTTTCTCTCTGCATCTCCTTGTCTCTGAATGATCTGCCTTTCCAATTAAAAAAAAAATCTTTAAATAAAGATATCACAGCAGCTCTTTCTGTACTCATTCTTTGTGACAGCTTGTATATGGCCATACAACACTCTGAGTAACATTGTTGCCAAGCAGTTAGAAGATGCAATTAATCCAGACTTTAATATGTAAGGAAACATCTCCAAGAGCCAACCCAGTGGAGCGTGATAGTGCAAAAGTTTTTAGACAACAATGGCTGGATCATGGTAAAGGACTTACAGCATGAAGAAATGGGTAAGAAATGAGCCCGGAGAGAGCTCAAACTGTGCAGAAATATGGATTTTATTAATGAAAAATGAAAAGGAAAATTAGACAAATACATTTGTATTTTAGATCTTAGCTTGAAAATGACAAAGACTTGAGATGGGGACAGGTCAGGAGACTATCACAATCTCTAGGTAACAGACAACAGTGGTATGAAATAGAATAAATACACAAGGTTTAAAGCAGAAAGCCAGTTACCAACCTGAGAACACATTAGGAGAAAGAATAGTTTCCAGGATTTTCCAATTGGCAATATTGTTTCATTCTGTAACTAAAGATTTATTTTGATGGTTCCTAAAATACATGCAACTTCATTCAAGTGGGTTCTTGCTAATCCTCTCATGGGTACCCCCTTTTTTTTGACCTTGATATCCCACAGGAACACAGTTCTGTCCTGGACACTTCATTTTGGATCTAGCTCCCTATGGATGGCATGGTAGTATCAGTGGAAGATCGCCCAAGCAATTTGCCCCTTGTCCCCAGAGGGAGCTCTTAGCTCCTAGCTACCAGCTTCAGCCTTGACACAGACTAATCATTTTGGTCAATTGGAAGTGAATCAGCAGATGGAAGACTTCTCTCTCTCTGTTTTTCCCTGTCCAGATTCTCTCTTTCAAACAAATTAAAGAAGGAAGCAAAGTAGGGAGGGAGGAAGGGAGGAGTAAGAAAGGACCAATAAGAATCTTAAGATTCTTTCCTATAGGACACAACAAACCTGAGAGTCTAAACCATAGTTAGCATAAATATTTAACAGGACAAATACTTGCTTTTTAGAATTATGTCTGTTAAATAAATGCCAAGATAATCTGTAAACACTACTAATTTTGTTCTCTAACAGAAACAACCAAATATTAGAATGGTAAAAGTTAGGAAGTTTTTTTTTTTCCCATCCTGGCTATCAATCATTTTGGGGGGGTGGGGTGGCAAATAAATAACCTTTCAGAGTTTCAGCTTCCTACTGGGGTAATAACAGTTGTTGTGTCCCAGAACTGTTTTGAAGCTTAAGCTAATCAGCGTACATAAAATACTAAGTGAACCTATCATTAGTAAAGGGTGAAACATGCTAGTTTATAATACAAAACTGGTTTCTGAAACATGGATTAAAAAACAAGCCACAAAATGCAAAGAACACTTTATTGATGTAATTAATTACTAAACAGTGAAATATTAAAACTATGGTTTAATTACTGTACACATTTTAGAAATTAAATTATGTTAAATTCTTGGAGAAGTCATAGATTTTAAGTTATATTAAGGAGTTCAATCTCTGAATTTGAAGAATAAAGTTCAATGCCACAATTGTTGAAATAATTTTTTCTTCAAGGAATTTTTTCTGCTGTAAAAACTTGAGAAGCTTGCCTCCTGGCCTTGAAAAAAAAAATCAGAAAAGTATTCATTGCAATGTGGAAGCCAATGCATTAGAATACATTAATTATATCCTAATATAAGATGATAAAATCTGGAGCTTTTTAAACATAATGAAAATCCTAAAGGAAAATTATAGTGTTACACGTAAATTTAGGAATAAACATTCTTAAAGTGAAGTGATAAACAAACTGAACAAAATTTCAAACAAAACAGAATGAAATTAAAAAAAAAATTTTCACCTTTTCTAAGGTATAATAACCCAAGGGGAAAAAAATGTTAGCTCTAAGTCAGAGGAAGACAGATAAAAACAGAGAGGCCGGACTGAGATAGGGCTAGAACAGAATCTTTAAAAAGTTTGCTGTGGGACGGCACGGTAACCTAGTGGCTAAAGTTGTCGCCTTGCACGAGCCAGGATCTCATCTAGGTGCCAGTTCTAATCCCAACAGCCCCGCTTCCCATCCAGCTCCCTGTTTGTGGGCTGGGAAAACGGTCGAGGATGGCACAAAGCCTTGGGACCCTACATCCACATAGGAGACCTGGAAGAAGCTCCAGGCTCCTGGCTCTGGATCGGCTCAGTAGACGGATGTTCTTCTCTGTCTCTGCTCCTTTCTGTATATCTGCCTTTGCAATAAAAATAAATAAATCTTTTTAAAAAAATTTTGCTGTCTCAATATAGTCTGAAAACTTCACTTCAAATTTTTTTCAATGCTTATGACACCTTTTCATCCTGAGCTGCAAATCAAGGCATACTAAATCAAATCATAACAAGATAGGTTAAACCAAGTTGACAGTATAATGATGATAGAATGAAAACCCAAGAATTAGATTAATTAATTTAAACATCTCATGGCAAAATATGGAAACAAATTCGGGAACAGAGTATCATTTATTACTTAATTGAACTGCATTAAGAGATAAAATATAAAATAAACCCCATCACCAAAACAAGTGCTCTAACATCTAATAGGGCCTGGAATTAGTAGAAACTCAAAATATTATTTATGGCAGAATGTCTTAATGGCAATTAAAAGACAACTGCCAGGGTAAAAGATTTTCTTTGCCTTAGAAAAGCAACCACTGTCTTTAAAAAATTGTTGCATACAGTATGGCTGGAAATGGAGGTCATTATATTAAGTTACATAAGGCAATCACAGAATGAGAAATACCACATGATTTTACTCCTATGCAGGATCTAGAAATAGGTGATCTCATAGAAATTAAAAACATAAGGGTGTCAGGGCTGGTATTGTGATACAGTAACTGAAACTGCCACTCATGATGCTGGAATTCCACACCAGGGTGCTAGTTCATGTCCCAGGGCCTCCACTCCTGATCCAGTTTCCTGCTGATGCTCCTGAGAAAGCAATACATGAAGACCCAAGAGCTCAGGGTAAAAGTCCAAGCCACTAGGTGCAGCTTACTCCAGCCTCAGCCCTTGTGGTCATTTGGGAAGTGGACCAGCAGTGGAAGAGCACATTCTGGCTCTGCTCTCGCTCTCCCTCTGTTACTCTGTCTTTCAAGTGAATAAAAATTTACATATATACATATGTAAATATTTACATATAAAATTTACACATATATATATGTATTATCTCCTACCAGACTCTGAGGAGGGAAATGAAAAAGCTTAACTGAAGTTTATTAGATTACAGAAAGCTAAAGGAGCACCTATAACATCAAAATGAATGAGTCTCTCTCAAGCTTTTATACCATAGGAGTTGTCAGAATTCATCACTTATTTGACATTACATATCAAGTAACGTATTACAAAGTTAAGTATCGTAGTGAAGTTGCGTAAAGCTACTGAAAACTATTAGATATCATTTAAAATCTAAAGATGCCGATCCAACAAATTAAATGACATAAAAACAAACGTCTTTGCAAAACTGATGAAAAAGAATAAAGTGTGAGCAGGCACAAAGTGGTAGCACTGACTCCCCCTAAGAATGCTAAGTTTTAAATTCAACTCCTACAAATTTCACACATTTCAATACTTACAATTTTCTCTTCTGGAGAAAGAATACCTTCTACTGCCACTATCTGGTACTGCTTATGTTTTAAACTTCCCACAGGTTTCCGAAGGTGCTTGAAACTGCTGGCTTCTATGTCTTGTTTTAATAGTTTCTGCATTTCTCGAGAAGGACATCCAGGATCAAATATAAGTAAACATAATGTCCGGTTCTTTTTCTCTTCAATTCCAACAACCAAACGACTGTGCCCTATCAAAAATAAAAGATCTATATCAGATCCTTAGGCAGCAAATAACATACACACTGGCGAATATACATATTATCTCTGCATATTTAGCATATGGCCATATGTGTGTTCATAAAGAAAATACACTGTGTCTCTTGGACATGTCTATACTTATACTCTCTTTTGAGATACGCAAAGTACTGTTTCTCACCTGTTGAATTTTGCTCAATTTTATTTTCTAAAAGCTTTATTACAAAAGATTCTACTTCTTCTCCACTGCATGCTATTTTTTCCTCCCCTTTTTCTTGAACTTTTTTCTATTCCTTATCCTCCATTTTAACCTAGCTCAGACAAAATCATTTGAAACTTACCTATTTTTGGACAAAACTCTTTGGGCTCCAAAAGATAAAGTAAAATCACGTATTCTAAAATACCAATAGGGAAGATTTAATCTCCTGTAGCTTTTCCTAAACAATGAAAATCCTAATGCTTAACTTCTCTTTATTGGTCTCAGTTCAAATTGTCCATTTAACAAAATTTATCAAGCACTGAGCTGTTAGTCATGGTTGTGGCAGTAACGCGTACAGCAGCAGTAACGTGTACAGCAGCAAACAACCTCCTGTGCCTGCTTTCATGTAATTCACATCCTCATAGCAGGAGACACTCTTGAATCAAGGTAATTAAGGGAAGGAAATGCCAGGGGTAGGTGGCAGGAATAACTAGCTGCCCTTTTAAATAAGGCAGTGCCTTATGAACTGAGCGAGATAAAGGACAAATCATGAAGAGTGAAGCAGATACAGAAAAGAGCCAACGCCAAGAGCCCAGAAGGTGCCAGGCTTATCAGAAATCATCATCCGAGAATGCACTGTAATGATGAAGCAACTCAGAAAATCAGGCCATTGTTCCAAGACTTCCCATTAGAATCTATTTTTTTAAAGATATGTTTAATTATTTGAGAATCACGGGGACCGAGAGAGGGAATTTGGACAGCAGTTAGCATCAGGAAAAAAAGGAAAAGTGTGTGTGTGTGTATTAGTGTTTTATGTGTTGGTTCTCTGCCCAAATAGCAACAATGGCTAAGGGAGAGGCAGGCTGAAGCTAGGGACCAACCTCAGCAGGTCTCCCATGGGGGTAGCAGGAGCTCAAGCCCTCCAACCATCCTCCTCTGCCTTCCCAGGTCCAATAACCACTAGGCAGATTGGAAGCACAGCAGCTGATAAACTTGAACCAGGTGCTCATATGGGATGCTGCAGTCAGAGGCTGCTGCTTAATCCACTACACCACAACACCAACCTCACCTATTACAATATACATATTTTTAGTTTATATAAAATAGACAGATGTCACTTACATTGAATACAGATTGAGGAGCTGAGTGATACTTCCTACCTTCTTCTCCCTCTTGTCTGCATTCCTCACCCAACTCCCTCCCATTATCTATTTTTTCTAGTTTCTACAATAGCGTATTTTCATTTCATTTCATAATCACAGGTTTAACACTGAAACATGTAGAGATAGCAACACAGACCAAGTGGAAAATAATAACAAAGAACAAAAAAATCTCTATCACTTCTCAGGAATAGAAACCAGGGCCACACGTAGTAATCAAATCCCAGGACGTCACCCTTGTAGCTACAGAATCTTAACCTATCCTAAAGCACTAGAAAACTATGTCTTAACTGTAATTGATACTCACCTTGGTGCTGAAGATAGATAGGAGGCTTACAGGTACACACTACCTTTTGATTCCCTTCTCTCTCTGAAGAATAATAATTTAATATCCAGTCAAATAAGCGAGGGTGTGTGCCTAAAGGGCCAGTTGACTTGTGAAAATCAACAATACGGCACCTACAGAAATGCGTGGAGAATATTTTAACTGTATTTTCAATCAATGGAGCTATCAAAAATACTTTTGCTTATAATTCATTTTACCTAACCATTACTTTCAGCCAAGGAAGATAAAGTCTAAAATTTATTATATATTTAAGAAACCTATTTTTTCATGAAGAAGTAACTATAATTATTGTTCACAATAAAGTCAGTGACTGACACAGAGATTACAAATACTTTTGACATAAAAAAAAAAACACTCCATGAAAAGCATATGACAACAGCACTTAATTTTTTTAAAAAGTCAACTATACCTAATCTGAGATACAACCGTGTTCATCACAAGCTAAGTTCTGGTATTAGCTACTCAATAACAATTTACATATATAAAAATATCTTAAATATTTTCATTTCTCTCAAATTCCAATACAGACAAGGATTCTGATAAAGACCTCTCTTCCATTTAGCACCAGACTAGGGAGAAATGAGGGAGTCACTCTTAAATAAACAGAATTTTTTTAATCAGAGGCACGTTTTTGGTACGTCCAACTACATTAAAAAGGTCAGGCATAATTCAGCTATTTAATGCTGGCAACTTTTTACTGAGTTTCAAGTGCTTGAATGAACTTCTAGATATATTATCTAGCAAGAAAACAGTGGTTTTGGTTGAAAAACTTGATTGGCACTTGATTAGACTTAGATTAGACTTAGATTATTGAATAGTACGTTAGAGAGTAAAAATCAGAGAGAAAAAAACATTGAATGACTAATAAAGAATATCACGGTATTGTAACGGAAAGGCTTTACAAAGGAATTCAAGTACCAAAAAACAGTTGGATATATCAAACATTTTAGAAGAAAAACTTTCCTTAAGAATATAAGAATATAACCGCCAAAGGAGTATCTAAGTCCAAGAAATAAAACAGAAACAGTAATAAGCTAAGGAATATTTTAAAAGCTTTTCAGGAAGGGAAGTAAAATAGGGAATATTTACAGAACCATAACATAAAGTCTGACTTAAAAAAAGCAGAGATGAAAAAACACTACGATTGAAAGTGTTAGGTGACAGACAAACTGATAACTCAAGCAACATGTATCTACAAACACATATTATTTAAATACAATAAAAGTGGGCATTTGTTATAGCTCAAAGCAGTTAAAATACTGTTGGGGAAACCTGCATTTCATCTTAAATTTTATTCTTTGCTCCGCTGCTGATGCAGCTTCCTTTTTTTTTTTTTTAAAAAAAGAATGTATTCATCTGAAAGGCACTGTGACAGAGAAAGACTGACAAGGATGTTGCATCCATTGGTTTACTTTTCAAATGACCCCAAGAGTCAAAGCAGTGCCAAACTGATGCCAGGAGCCATTGTGGGTGGCAAGGGCCCAACAGCTTGAGCCATCTTCTGCCGCTTTCCTGGGTGCATTAGCTGGATGGGAAGCAGTAGAACCAGGACTTGAACCCGAGGGTTGTGATGCAGAATGCCAACAGCACAAGCAGTGGCTTAACTTCACTGCACAACCGCAGCAGACCTATGTTTCTGCTTCTGACTCTACCTTAGAGCTAATGCAACTCCTGGGAGGCAACAGGTGATGAGGGTCCAAGCATTCAGATCTCCAGTATCCATTAGGAGACCCGGACTTAGTGTACTTAATTTTATATTGTAACTACTTCTTTAATTTAAAAAGAGAAACTCCCAGATATGGAAGCAATATTAACTTGGGAATTTAGGTACATACTTTACCCTAAGGGAGGTGAGGAGTGTATATATTTCACATGCTCCAATCCAGGCTTTTGTTCCCTGTAACTTGTTGTTAAGCTGCGTAGCACCTTGAGGGTCAAACCCTTCCTTCCAGGCATCTTCAATCATAGACTGGATTTTGGGGATACAAGGAACTGACATACCTAAAATTACATAAGCAAACTTAACATGTAGCAGTTTAAGATAGTTATTACTGATGTATCTTCAATTACATAATTTTCTCTTCATCCAACCATAATATAGGTTTATGTACATAATCATTATAATCCTTCTTTGCTTAGACTCTTCATTATGTCTGCTATATATTAAAGCATTCCACAGCATAACTATTTTATCACGTACCTTTCAAGCAGTCATCAAAAACATCATTTTGCAATAATGATGAAAGGAGCATCTGGAAATTTCTGTATCCACAGCCCCAACCTTTGTCGCCTAAAGATGAGTGAAAGTGATCCACCACAGCGGAGAGCCACACGTGCCTCACTTCCATGGCAGCGCTCTGGTAATACCTTTGAAGCGCTTCAATAATTCCTAAAACACAAGAGATATAGGAGATTTAGAAGCATTTGTTATTTTTATTTAATTGTCTTACACATTTCTGTTACTAACCTTTGCCTCAGCCCCTAGCTACATCTTGCCACTTCTTTGCCCTCCTACTGTTACAACCTTATTCCATGCACCTGCTTGATACTGAAATCCAAGTTTCCTGATGCTAGTGCATTGCCTATTAAATGAAACGCTTGGCATCTTTCATCTCTGCTTCTGAAACAGTGTTGAATGGATGTTCCTCCTGTCTGTGTTCTTAGACACACTGCTGGAGATGATTCAGGCTTAGTATGTGAGTTACACAGAAAGTTATTTTCAACCTTGCCTGTATCTCATACTATTCTTATACCATCGTTTGAAGGCTCTGATGTAACCAAACACAAAAAACATGATTCTACCCATGGAATTCTACAATTTCAGTATTGGCTAAGCACTTTTTATGTATGTATCGCTACACTAAATGCCAAGGATAAAAAGATAAATACAATAACATACCTTGAAACCCCATACACCTGGACTATCGCAAGTGTATTTTTATATTGATAATCTAAGTGTCAGAACAAGAGACATCTCTGTTTTTATCTTCTTTTCAATAATCTCTCCTGTTGTTTCAAAATCCTACAAATCCTGGATCAAATGGTACTGCCTTCACAGACTTGTTTCCTGATTGAGATTTTTTCTGAATACTCAGTACATTAATGTTTTGTACACCTTGGGCAACAGTCACATTCTGCCAAGGCAGGATACTTCAGGGCTTTTGTTCATCCTTTACATCTTCTACAAATTCTAGGAAGCTCACTGGCAAGAATGTCTTTGGTCCTTACTTTCTCAGAGTATATGCAGTCAAAAAGATAATCACTACTGCTTTTCTTCTGAATGAAGGGTATCTTCCAGAGAATTGGGTTTTGTTCTTCATTTTATTAAGATTTATTTTTATAGAGAGAAGAATAGACAAAGATAAAGATCTTTGATCCACTGCTCACTCCTCAAATGGCATCAATGGCCAGAGCTGAGTCAATCTGAGGGTCTCCCACATGCATACAGGGAGAAAAGGCTCGGCCGTCCTCCGCTGCCCTCCTAGGCTACCAGGGAGTTGGATGGGAAACAAAACAGCTGGGACACAACTTGGTGCCCATATGGCATTCTGGCACTTACAGGCAGATTATCCAAAAAAACCAGCTTTGGGGTTTTGTCTTTTATGAGGTAAATACAAGGTCAATAAGTCTAAACAATCAAATGAACCAACAACTGTAATTCTGCCTAGTACCATTCCCAGACAATTTGGATCAAGATTCCTGGTCATAGGAAAGAACAACCAACATGGTATAGGACATCAGAACTAGGAGCTGTAGTGTGGAATGGGTACTTCAGGAGTTCAGAGAAAATACGATAATTGTGAATTCTGCTATCCAGACTTTTAATTTATGCTGATGCAAAAGCCATAAGCAATCAGCAGAAACTGTATTTCTAAATCTGTCTTCTGATTTTTCTTCTGAGCAAGCCATAAAGGGTGATGCTATGTCAATAGCATGCAGCAGCAGTGAGCCACACTGCCAGGCAGCCAAGTCAACACACAGATAAGCAACCAATATGCAAAAGTTGAATCTTACTAAATTATCACAGTCAGGTTATTAAATTCATTTTTAATTTTCAATGTTAACAAATTATGTTATAGCTATCAAGTTGTAAACTCATAAACTGAGAATCATCTGTAATTTCACCTATTTCTTTGTACTTTATTTATTCTAGAACATTTAAAATTTTCTATTCTTACGACAAATATTGTGATACAACCTTGTTAAGCTGCAATGCCAGCATCCCATGTTTGGTGCCAGACTGGTGTTTAGCTGCTCCATTTCAACTTCAGCTCCCAGCTAATGCTCCCAGGATAGTGTAAGACAGCTGGGATGCTTTTCCCCTGCCACCCACATAGGAGACCAGGATGGACTTGCAAGTTCTAGGCTCAGGCCTGGCTCAGCCCCAGCTCTTTCGGGCATTCAGGCAGTGACTGAGTGAATGGAAGACCTTGTTTCCTCTTTCTCAGTGTTTTACCCTTCTTTTCTGTAACACTGCCTTTCAAATAAACAAATACACATTTAAAGGAAAAGATTCTCTATTGTCTAGCTCGCATTAAATTACCTCCCATTAGGCTGCACTGATCCAAAACATGGTAAGGATCCATAAAAATTTGAGGAAAAAAAATCAAGGAAGGGAGGGAGAATCATTATGCTTTCTAAACAAAAAATACACGAAAATGCTATTGTAAAAATTAAGGGATAAAAGGGACCTGATGGAAGAAACAAGACAGCTAAGTATGGTAATCTTAGAGCTGTATCAATGAAATTCAAGAAATCTTACCATTACATGAATGAAAACTGAAGGAAAAGGTTCAGTTTCAAGTGTCAACATTCATTATTTTAAGTAAACTAGTGGGCTTCATGTGAGCTAGATCAGGGAAGGGCCAGATTGGGCTGACTGTTCCTACTGGTGCAAGCAAAACTTAGAGTGGGTGAAGGTTGGTTGGACTTTGCCACAGCGTCAGCTGGCAGAGGCTGGCACTGAGGGCTAAATCTGTCAAGTTAAACTCCAGAACCATCTGGAGAGTGCATAATGCAGGAGTGGGAGTGGCCTAGTAAGGAAGGAGTGGGCACCTCCCTCTTGGGTTACCACTCCCACTGGAGAGCAGGAAAACCAGGATAGGGGCAGGGGTAGCTAGATAGAAAAGCACCCCCCAGTATGTGTGTGGGCTGGATAGTAAGGCAGGTTGGGTTTGAACTAGGCTTCAGTGCCCATTGACATGTCCGAGAGCTAAATGGGATGTGGGACAGACTGAACATGTCTATGATACATACTGGCATGCATGGGAACCAAGGTAGGGAGCAGGCCTGGTGGAGGTTACGGGGAGTAGCCCCAACTAGGCTGTTGCTCCCACTGGTTTGCGTGAGAGCCAAGTATGAAGTGGGCAGGATTGGGCTGGACTGCAACACCCATTGGTTCGCGTGGAAGACAGGGCTGGAAACAGAACTGACCCAGCAATTGAAAGGAGCCGCATGCACATAAGCTGATTGGGGCGACGGACTGTGCCAGACCCTGTACTGGCAAACATATACAAGAATCCAGTCTGGGATCACTTCAGACGAAATTTCTTTCGGGATCCCTTCAACTGAACTGCTGATCTCAGAACCCCAACCATGAAGAGATTATGTCAGCCAGTGGATTCTGAATAGATTTCTTCGAGATTGGAAGAGATTGGCAGCGATTCAGAACTATTGAAATATCAAAACTGCTTGAGCAGGACCCTCAGAGCATGTCTCACATTGGGGACCTGGGATGGGTGGGAGGCTGGGTGGGGCTTCTCCCTTTGTTTCTCTCCTGACCCCAGGTACAGGGGGAAAAATGATATTAGTGTGGAAACAAAGGTATTACCCACTTTCCTGTAGCTCTTGACCATTTGTACACTAATCAACTATGTAAGATTATTAAAAATAAATAAATAAGTAAATAAATAATACGTTCAAAGGAGTCAAAACATTTTTCTTGCTTTAAAAAAAGATTTATCTATTTTTATTGGAAAGGCAAATGTATAGACAAAGAGAGACAAAGATCTTCCATCTGGTGGTTCACCCCCAGGCTGGCCACAAAGACCGGAGCTGAGTTGATTCAAAGCCAGGAGCCAAGAGCTTCTTTTGGGTCTCCCACAGTAGTGAAGAGTCCTACAGCTTTTTTTGAGATCATTCTCAACTGCTTTCCTAGGCCAGAAGCAGGGAATTGGATGGGAAGTGGAACGGCTAGGACACAAACTGGTGTTCATACGGGATGTCAATGCTTACAGGTAGAGGATTAACCACTTGAGCCATGTGTGGGTCCCAAAATCTTTTTTTATAAAGTATTTGAACATATTGCTCTCTTGGTTAAGAGTATACAAAGTTGGGATTTTGAAATGGGTAATATTCAGATGATTTTGATTATTACTGCAGGGTTATGGCAATTTTAAACTATGATTTGATGTTTAAGTACTTACCAGAAGTTTTTGTTTTTCCATCATCAATACCAATAGCTAGGGATTCCATCATATCAGCTTTCCTCCTATGAAATTCAGACGGGTGCATTCTGCCCCGGTTTACTTCTATCTCCATATTCCGTAACTGTTGTTCTTTGTATCCTCCGGAATTATCTAAACCATACTGTCTCTATTGAACATAAAAGGAAATGATAATTGTTAACATACATAATTTATCGTTTCTTGGCCTTTCGGCTAAGATCAAGTGTAACATACTTATAATTTATTGAGGATAGAAAGGACGAAATATCAGGTTTTACAAGTCACAATATTGTTTTGTTTGAAAACAAAATCTTCCACACATACAGCACAAACGTGGACTTAATAACTGACAGCCATTCTTCTGAACACTAAGTAGGTTCCAGAGATTTTCTTTCCTTGCAATAGGAAAAGCAGGGGATCCTATCTTGGTATTGAAGGTATTACAAAATGCTGAAAACTTGTGGACATGTTGTACATTTTTAAAGGAAAATTGTCGGTGCTTTTTACCTGGTTCCTGAGTTAGTCCATAAAGGCCTATCTTTCCTACAGTGCATTCTTTCAATGATGCAACCCAGAAAATGAACGATAACGCTCTGGATGGACAAATGATATACACAACCTCTTCTACAAAAATCTTTCCTAAACCAATCAAATAAAATTGAAACTGTTTCTATTGATAATTTTGAAAATTATGTGAGGCCAAAAAAAAAAAAAAAAGATTTAGGCATTGTCAACTGTCTTTCAACTTCATAATCCTTATAGGAAAACGCTTTGCAAGTAAGTAAATCCTAAGGTAGACTTTGCAAAGCACATTTCTAAGACATAATAACCATGTGTGAGATAATTAGGAAAAAAACCAGATACATTATCTGGGAAGATTATATGCATAATCCCTGTTAATATATTAATAGTACCTGAAGTCATAAAGTGTACAAATCTTAACTGAACACTGAACCATCTACTGGATCCTAAACCCTGTTTTAAATTTATACATGAGCTTTTCAAAATGTTTATGGAACATGAATAGTATGAAAAAAGCTATGTATAGACTTGAAAAACTTTTTGAGCCATAATAAATCTTTAATTTCATTTTTCCACAAACTTTACGATATTCAAAAACTTTATCAAAGGGACCAGCCTGGTAATATACAGGTTAATCCTCAGTTTGTCGAGCTGCTAACCCAGACGGACACCATTTGTGCTCCACTTCCAATTCAACTCCTCGCTTGTCAGCTGGGAAAGCAACAGAGGATAGCTCAAGTCCTTGGGTCATTGCACCCATGTGGAAGATCCAGAAAGAAACTCTAGGCTCTTGGCTTCAGACTGCCTCAGCTTCAGCTGTTACAGCCATTTGGGGAGTAAACTAACAGAGACAGTATCACTCTGTCTCTTCTCTCTGTAAATATGCCTATCAATTAAAAATAACCAACCAACCAAACAAAAACCTTTACAGCAGGGACTGGGGCAGCTTAGTAATGCAGCTTAGAATTGCAGCTTAGTAATGTTAAGCTACCACCTGCAGTACTGCAGTTCCACCATTCCAAATGGGTTCAGGTTCAAGTCCTGGATGCTCTTCTTCCCAATAAGTTCCCTACTAAAGGCCTAGGAAAGCAGCAGAGGATTGCCCAGGTGTTTGGGCCCCTGCAAACATGTGGGGAACCTGATAGAGACTCCCGGCTCCTGATTTTGGCATAGCCCTGCCCTAGATATTGTGGACATCTTAAGGAGTAAAACGGCAGATAGAAGACCTCTCTCTCTGCCTCTGCCCCTCTTTAGTAGTGCTCCTTCCAATAAATGCATAAATAAATCTTAGAAGATGGCCCAAGGGCTTGGATCCCTGCTTTCAACCCAGGAGACCTGGACGGAGTTCTGGGGTCTTGGTTTCTAACGAGCCTAGCCCTACCCCACCTGTTGAGGTTATGTGGGCAGGTATTTAGGCAAACAGAAGATCTCTTCCTCTCTCTGTCTTATCCTGTCACTCCGCCTTTCAAATTTAAAAAAAAAATCATAAAATTAAAGCAAAAACTTTGTGGAAATGACTAGCAGAGATGACTCTAGAGTATATAAATTAGAACTGAAAAAAGAGAAAATTTAAATACATTAAAATATAACATGTTATTGGTTTAGTTCAACAGTTAAATGAAGTCTCCAATATCAAAAGTATTTTCCATTGAAAACTAGTTTTTCTAAATGCCCAAGATTGAGATTTTTGGGAATGTAAGACTCAGGAGATAATTAGTTCTAAGTACAAAATTCACCGTTATGACCCAAAAAGACTGGAAAAACTTTAATTCTGCTTCCTACTCTGCCTCAGCTTACACAGATTTCAATTCAAGATTCACAGAGTAATAGCCACCTGTTCCTGATCTAGGAAGCTATGTCACTATTCTCTGTTTCTACAACATGTTGCAGGTAGGGCTAACTAGTCTCTCTGTGGATTTGTTGTGAAGATTTTGCGATATCATGTATAGGATGTGATTACTTCTTGTCAAAATGAAAACGTGTAAGTGGTGGCCATTATAGGGGCTACTATCTTAGCAGAGTGGGCTAAGATTCTACCTGTATTCATCCAACAGCAAGGACCAGTTTGGGTTGAAGGCCAGTCAGGAAAAGCCACTGTTCCTACTAAGACAGGAGGTGAACTGAGTAGGGCTGGCTCATGGACCCCGGTATGCTCGAAATCTGACATTGGGAGAGGTTCTGATGGAGGAGCCTGGGCAACTCTGGCAGGACACTGACCCGGCAGGTAAGCGCAAGAGGCATAATAGGAAACAGCCCAGAACAGGCCATGAAAAGTTACCCATGGGCATGCATTAGGCATGGATCGGGGGAGGACCAGGCTGAATCTGTTCACATCATCCACTGGCAAATCCAGGCACCAGAACAGTGTGGGTCGAGCCAGGTTCAGTCACAACAAAAACTAGTGCACAACATGGAATGCCAAGGTGAGGTTGCCTGTGCCAGAAGTGACCGCAGCACCCAACCAGCATACCTGAGAACCAGGAAAGGAGGGGGCGGAACCGGCAGGGGAATAGAGGTGGTTCCTTTGCTGGACAGCTATTCCCCCTGGAGAGCATGAACTAGGATGGGGGCAGACCAGACTAAGCAGGGCTACAACACCTGTACGCCTCATGTGGACTAGATCAGGTCATGTGGACTAGATCAGGGAAAAGCCAGGCTGGGCTGATTATTCCTACTGGTGCAATCTACAATTAGAGTAGGTGAGGGCTGTTTGGGCTTAGCCACAGCATCAGGTGGCAGAAGCTGGCACTGGGCCTAATTCTGTCAAGTCAAACCACAGAACTACCTGGAGAGTGCATAATCTGGGAGTGGGAGAGGCCTGGGAGGGAAATAGTGGGCTCACCCCTCTTGGGTTACCACTTCTATGGGAGGGCACAAAAACCAGGACAGGGGCTGGGGTGGAATGGGGTGTGGGACAGACTGGACTACTGCTACATATACTGGCAAACTGGGACAGGGGGCGGGCCTGGTGGGGGTTATTGTGGGTCGCTCCAACTAGGCTGCAGCTCCCACTGGTTTATGTGAGGGCTGAGTATGTCCTGGGCAGCAACAGGCTGGACTGCAACACCCACTGGTTCCAGTGGAAGTTGGGGCTGAAAACAGAATCAACCCAGGAATTGCAACCATCAGCTGATCAGGGCCATGGACTGAGCCGGGCCCTGTACCTGCTAGTACAAACAAGAATCTGGTCTGAGAACACCTCAGACGAAGTTTCTTTGGAGATTTCCCCAATCAAAATGCTGGACTCAGAACCCTAACCAAGAAAAGAGAGAAGACGGAACAGGTCAACCAATCATCTCAGCTATATGTTGGCAGCGAAATAAGGGCAAAAGGAGAGACTATGATGGACTATGTCAATCAGTGTATTCCTGAAGGACCTCATAGTGCTTGGAGTGGCAAGATTGGCAGCAATTTAGAACTGGTGAACTATCAAAACCACTTGAGCAAGAACCTGGGAGCATACCCTACATGCGGGACCTGGGGAGGGTGGGAAATTGGGTGGGCCTTCTCCCTTAATACCCCCCTTTAAACATGAAGGAAACAATATGGAAATAATAGTCTTACCCACTTTCCTATAGCCCTTGAACCTTTTTACCCCAATTAACTATGCAAAGATTGTCAAAAACATAATAAAAAAAAAAAGATTCTACCTGTATTGTTGGCATCGTATGACTGTTCCGTTTCTGACCCAAGTTCCTGCAAATGTGCTGGGAGGGCAGTGGAAAATGATCCTAGTGCTCAGGCCCTTCAACCACATAGTTAGAGTTCCTGATTCCTGGCTTTAGCCAAGCCCAAACTGGCTTCTTTGCTCATCTGAGGAGTGAACCAGCAGATGGAATATATCTCTGTTTCTCTGTCTTTATTACTGTGACTTCCAAATACATAATGAATACCCAAATACACATAAAATATTCTAAAATAACAATGACAAAAACAGGATGAACTATTGAAACTGTATTTGTAAAATAAGAGTTCTACCAGATCAAATTGTTATTAATCTTCATACCTGTAGCTTCTGAAATTCTTCTACTTCTTGTCTTGATTCTTCAGATTTCCTCTGTCTGTCTTCCTCTTGTTGAAGTTGGTGAGCCAATTCTAAATCATTAGAACACTGAACTCTGTCCATGCCTAGTAGATGTTTAGATTAAAATGATTACTGAAAAATCAAAGCTTACCTATTAATTACGTCTATTTTTAAAATAGAGCAAATTATAATCTGTTACTGATCCGTGATTATGATGTCATTCAAACTCTGAATCCAAATTTAGTAGAACTTAGAACAGCTTGTATAAAGAAATAACTTTCATTTAAAGCATAACTAATATTCACTAAGAGCTTAAACTATAATAAGCCTTTTAAACTAATTATCTCATTTATCTTCACAAAAACAACTTCATGAAGTAGATACTAACTACAGTGGTAACCAGAATTTAATAAGAAAAGAAGCAATGTTCATTGATGGTGCATTAACATAACTAAATTGATTTTTTGAAGATTGTAGGAGGGGTAGAAAACACTACAGAGCATAATAATAAGCATTTGAAAAGTATGGTTGTTAATTGATAATCACAAGCAAATGATAAAGCTCAACATGCTGCCCTGAGTCCTCTCTCCCAGAGATTCACACTTCCTTTAGTGTCCTCATTCTAGTGCTTTGTCTACTTGGCCCTCCAATCTCATGATTTAGGTATGAATTGAAAATTAACGTGTTCTTCCTTTTTCAACTATTGGTAACTGTTGAATCTTACCATTTGGTCCTCCTTTCATTTTTGGGGATATGCAATTCTTAGCTGGTTTTTAAAATCAACCCTGGGGTCATCTACAGTAGTTTACTCAAATCACATCTTCCTCTCCTTACCCACAATAGGTTTCCAGAATAATATATGTACTCACACAAAACCTAACACAAGCAGAACAAGCATTATCAGAATTTCACTCTAGTAGGGCAGTATCTCTTTTACAATGTTGTCAAAGGGAAGAGAGTACACCAGCTGAATTCGTAAGCAGAGAACCACCACAGGACTATATGATCATTGCCCCAGCAATTCTCATATTGAGTTAGGCTAAGTGAGCAGGCATGCATTCCAGGAACATCACTGATTCTGGTACTATGACACTGAGTATTGAATATCTGCAGTAACAGAAATTACCAAAATACCTTAAGAAAATGAAATAAGTGTCCAACCTTTTAGACTCTACTTTATATTTTCTTTCAGTGGAACTGTAAAACTCAAGGCACAACAATGATTACTTAGGGCCACTGTTTACAAGGATGGGAGACAGTCTTTTTACAGGGTTATCAAAAAACTGACACATAATTTTACAAATGGGGGCAAGCAGCTGGAAATTCAGTGGAAGATGTTAAGACTCATTTCTTAAACCACATGTGCTATATGGTAACTTCCTCATTCAATGATTAATGCTTGATCAACACTCAGATACTTCTAGCTAAAGGAATGACTTCTTCAATTTATAAATAAAACATTTCCTAAATTGCAAAATATTTTTTAAAAAAGTTATCCAAACATGTGTGCCATCTAAATATCCGTGCTCTGGGATGATATTCAGTATACATAACCAGTTCAGGTGTTGGTCACCACAAATTCCCCTTTGCAACTTCTCTGTGGAACAGCTTCTGATGCAAAAGGTACAAGATAAGAACTCTTTAAACAAATTCTTTCAATAAAGACAAGGATTTTTTTCCCCTATAAATAACTAATCTAAAATTTAGATATGTCCTAGAAAATAGAAATTAAGGGAAGATATTTTTATCTTTAAACATGTTATCATACCTTGTTGAAAACTGCTTTCTTCTAAATGCAAGTCAACATGCTCTTGGAGAACCCGGTAATCTGAACAGATGAGCCCGCACATAGGACAGTCATAGAGAGGGCGATCACAGTCTGTATGAGACATAATTGATTTTTTAAAAAAGATTTATTTTTGTTTGAAAGGCACAGTTACACAGAGAGAAAAGAGACAAAACACTTTCCATTTGTTGGTTTACTTTCCAAATGGCCACAAATTGGGAGCTAGACTGATCTGAAGCCAGGAGCTTCTTATCCCACGTAGGTGCAGGGGCCCAAGCACTTGAGCCCTCCTCCACAGATTTCCCAGGCCACAAGCAGGGAGCTGGAATGAAAGGGAAGCAGCCATGACTCCAACTGGCACCCCAAGAGGAAGATAGCATCTCAGGCAGAGGATTAGGCTATGCCACTCATCACACAGATTTTACTTTGACATTTCTTAAGTTTTTTTCACCCATGTCATAAACTAACACTACTACCTTTATTATAGCAATCAAATATCTTTACAGTTCCCAATTTAGGGCAAAGATGAGAGTCTGAGCAAAATGAAAAAGCTCTGTTACCATTACAAACATAATTTTTAAAATAAACTTTCAAACCTGTAATCAAAACATGAAAGGAAGAAAGAAAATTCAAGTGATAGCTTGATATCTAGGGGCCACTTTAGATTTGGGGGCTAAATTTTCAACACCTGGGAAACTGAGTGGTCCCGCTTGCTACCTCTGCAAGACTGAGGCCTGATGATAATGGGCAGAGGAACAGAATGGCAAACGGTTCCTCTTCACTCAGTGAAACACTGACTAACCCACACAGAGCAGGTTTTGAAGGTAGAGACTGTGAACTACCATAGGGAAGACATCATGAAGCTACTTCAAACTTATAACAGATAAAGACTAAAATAACAATTACAAAATGCAATAGGACATCCAGAGCTATAATAAAGAGTCTAGAAACCCATCAAATCAAACAGCCACCTCTGAAGAAATGGTGCTGGGGTAAATCTACCAGAGAATATACTAGTCTCTTTAAAATCCTCACTGAAAAGAAAGTAAGAATAGAATCTTTGATGTTGGGACTGGAGGTGGCATTGTAGTACAATAAGTTAAGTGACCATTCCCTATGAGCATAAGATTGAGAATCAGACATCCCCTAAGGATCTAGCTCCTTGTTAACACCCCCTGGGAAAGCAATAGAGGTGGCCCAACTACTTGGGTCCCTGACATCAGGCTCCTGGCTTTGGCCTGGTCCAACCCTGATCATTTGGACCATGAACCAGTGGCTGGACGATCTTTTTTCTCTGCCCACACTCACTAACTCTGATTTTTAAATTAATGAATCAATCTTTAAAAAGAAGAAGGAGAGAATAAAGCGAGGAAGGAAACAAACAAACAAACCAGGACACCAGGACAGAAAGTTTTGAAATAAAAACAGAAAGGAGAAACATCTAAATATTAAATAAAATGAATAATCACTGAAGTAAAAATTGAATGGCAAAGCTCAAGAGAGCAGTGAAGTAGGTATCAGTACTAAGAAAATATTTCCTACAGCAACACTAAGAGATAAATGTATTTATGACTAACATTCCTAATACTGCAGGAATAAAAAGAGAGCTTTCAGCCAGTTCTCTGCCATAGGGCTCCTCTTGCCACCGGAGGCCTTTACTCATACCTGTGGTCCCCTCAGCACGGCAAGCCATCCCCTTCAGCCCTTCTAGCTTAAAGTGATTTCCAAGCTCCCTCAGCATTAATCAATTGTACCCCACATCACTATGTAAGTTTATACTTTTTTACTGATTTTTTAAAAATCTCATTTTGTGTAAAAGGTAAAGAGACAGAAAAAACTAACTTCTTGGAATACACAAGAGAATCCATGGTCAACAATTAAACTTAGTGTTGAAGAAGACTAGATAACTATATAAAAGCTGATATTTCTATAAACCTGCAAATGCCAAGTATGTAAGTGACAAAAATCAATTTATAAAAGTAATAGAAACTATAAACAATAAGGCTAAGTTAGATTTCAAGAAAATTAAAAACCTTAATGCAAAAGATACAATTTCTGTAGACTTGATCAGAAAAACTGTCACCATGGTACATTATAGTGAAACTTTTAAGAGTAAAACATACAGATTCTAAAACATGCAAGAGAAAAATCCAGATTATCTTTTGAGAATTTTAAGTAGACTTTCAGCAGATTTCTCATTAAAAATCCCAAAGACTAAGAGAAAATGGAGATACAGTTCATCTTAACAAACCTGGACCAAGCTAAATTTATTCCTGGTAAGCATATGCAGGTTCAAGATATGAAAATCAATTACTGTATCACATAAAAAAACTGAAGAATTAAAAACCATATGATTATCTCAATAGATGCAGCAAAACATTTTGATAAAAATACAACATCTTCAAAACTTAAGTTAATTGGGGACAGAAGGAAGACTGCTCAACACGGTCAAGGTGACGTATGAGGAACCCACAGTATCATACTGAGGGAGGAAATGTTGGAAGCATTTTCACTAAGATCTACAACCAGACAAGGATGCCCACGTTTACCACAGCTTTTCAACACAGTTCTGGAAGCTTTAGCAGATGGAAGACTTTTCTTTGTGACTCTGCTATTCAAATAAATAAATAAATCAACTTTCATACACACACACACATCTGCAGTAATATGATACACAAACCAAATTCCAGGAAACCACATATTAAAAACACTAACTTTACTTATAATTCCCAACAAAATGAATGTTGTACCTTCGAAAGAAGCATCTAAAAGATCAGCATGGTTTGTTTTCACATGAGTTTCCATATCCTGGCTACAATCCTCTATTTTTCCACAGAATGGACATTCAGGAGTACCATATACGGTTTCATAAACTGATCCTTTTGTTCTTGGCATACTAGGCTCTCCTTCCTCACTACGCACGCGTTTTGTTGACTTGGTTAAATTCTCTGAATAAAATTCTTCATGTTTTAAAGCACCATCCTCACACAGATTTTGAGTTGATTTCTTTGGATGATTAGATGCACAGGCTGAATGAATACTTGAATTAGCCTCTATTCCACACTGTAAGGTGCTGTCATTGTTCTCTGAACTTCTGTAATGCATCACATTTAATCTCTCAAAGTTTCTTTCTTGTGTGTCCTGCTCAAAATGAGCAGTTTCAATATGAAAGTTCATTTCATCATAATTTATGCCAGACAACTTGCAGAATGGACATATAACTTCATTTTCCATGTGAACAATGAGGAGATGAGTCTTCATGTCTGGTTCTGAACTTAGTGTTTCTCCACAAATATCACAAGACAGCATGGCGAGATACGTAGCTGGAAAAAAAAATGGTTTTAAGTTGCAAAGCAAGAGTTAAAGATAATTCATAAAATGATTTGGAACAGTCTGTGCATATCTAGTGTTGGACTAGTTTGATGATAACATTTTCTGTGTATTTACTGTTCCTGAGGTATACAAACTTACTGATGAATCTCAACCAAAATTTCACCATTTAAATTTAATTTTTAGGATTCAAGGAAATGGGCAATAATAACAATTCCTAAAAATAAAATATTTTAAAATAGGTCTGGTTTGAGGTGGGGCAAAAATGATATTTCAAAAATGTTGCAGGTAAGATGCCAGATAAAACGGAGGAATCAAGCAAAACTACGAAGGTACCCAGACATAGAACTTTCAAAGTTGATTTAATGGGGAAAGAAAATAAACACATCTTAATAGCAAGTGGCACTAATGTAGCTTTAGATATGTCCAACTGTCTTAAGTACTATCATTATTCTCTACACAAGATCTTGACTCAGTACACCACAGCCTGAAAGAGGTGGGACTGAAAAATGCTGATGCAGTCAAATTCCACAGCAGCATCTCAATCAAAAGGAGAAACCTCCTTAGTGGGAGGAGTAGAAAGAGCACTTTTTGGGCCTGGTGTGGTGGCCTAGCAACTGAAGTCCTTGCCTTGAATGTGCTGGGATCCCATATGGGCGCCGGTTCTAATCCCGGCAGCTCCACTTCTATCCAGTTCCCTGCCTGTGGCCTGGGAAAGCAGTCGAGGACGGCCCAAAGCCTAGGGCCTCTGCACCGGCATGGGAGACCCGGAAGAAGTTCCTGGCTGCTGGCTTCGGATAGGCACAGCACTGGCTGTTGTGGTCACTTGGGGAGTGAATCAGTGGAAGGAAGATCTTCCTCTCTGTCTCTCCTCCTCTCTGTATATCTGACTTTGCAATAAAATAAATAAAATCTTAAAAAAAAATAGCACTTTTTGCACAGTTGAAAGAACTGTTTTAACATGTCAGATTGCATCACTTTTGGAAAAGCATTTTATCACATTGAAATTTGGTCCATAATTTGAGCTGAGCTAACACCAGTCCAGTTCTTGGATTACAAGGACTGGCTACTACATAAATGTGATGGTAAGAATCTGTCGTTTTTAAAAAGCAATCATCAACACCATCTTCCTACTAGGGATTATGTACAAACAAATCAGAAATATATCTGTGTATATATATATCTTATATGCAATATATAAATATATATGTATATATATATATATATATATGAGTAGTAATCCCTTCATTTTACAGATTTGGCTTCATACTACTTCACCTTTCCCTTATTTATTACTTACTTTATTTTTCTCTTTTCTCTGCAAAGTGAAAGCAGTCCGATTTTAGAAGGTAGTTTTCCTGACCAATCCCTGCCCCCACCCCCAGCAGTGGGAAGAACATCATACCCAGGGTTTCACGGCCTCCAGTGGCTGGGTGAGGCTAGACACAGCATGCACCTGGACTTGGACTCAGAAGAGACCTACACCAAGGTCAGGTCAGTTGCAGGACTGAGTTCTTGGAAGCCGCAATAAGGGCGGGACTGCCACCAGACCAAGTCTGTTCAAAGTTCCAGGCCAACGTCTGGAGAGCGAACGAAACCCGCCAGCCACCCACTGGGTCCCAGCTGAAGCTTACAGTGAGAGGGCTGGCACTGCCTTTCTTAGCCGCCCGAAGATGAGCAGCCGCCCTACTGCTGCTTCCTCTCCGGGTCCCGCGGCGGCAGCAGCTGCCTGTCCCGTCTGCAGAGGCAAGCGGGCGCTGCGCTCGGAATCTCTCTCCTGTATTCCGAGTCTAAGCTCCAGCCCTTCCAGCACCAGCAGATTCAGAGTCTGCGGGAAAATAACGAGCGACTTGAAGAAACCTTATAACCGAGCACCGAGTTCAAAACAGCACTTCCTCGGTCAGCAGGAAGGGCAGGAATCCCAGCATGCCCCGCTGCAGCCGCTCAGAGCTGTGGTGCTTTCTGGTAGTGGTAGTCCCTTTGGCGTCTTCCTCTTTCACTGGCTTTCGTTTTCATTTTAACGAGGTTTTTTTTTTTTTTTTTTTTTTTTTTTTTATTCAGCGTAGGCTGGTTAAGTGCACAAACTCTGAAGCTGAACTTCCGAGGTTAAAATCCCAGATGCTGTGTTTTTAACACAATGACTTTTTATATAAATAGCCACCATTTCCCTATTTTACCTTATGGGATCATAAAGTTCAGTAAGTTGAAAATTATTAGTGACTAGCAGCATCCTGAAGTCAGTATTTTCTGGCATTGCAAATTTATCTGTCCTTTCAAGTCATCTGTACAAAAAGATGCCACAAAGTGGGGTATATGTAAGCAACAACTACGTATGTCTCACGTTTCTAGGGGATGGAAGTCTAACATGAAGGCTCAAGCGGATTGAGTGTTTGTGGTCAGTTATGGATAGCACTTCTTAGTCACAGCATCTTTACTTGGTGGGAGGGACAGGGCAGTCCCTTTGCACCTTGAGACAAAGGCATACAAGCTCATCTTGTGATCTAATCATTTCCCAAATTCTCCTTCTCTTAATGTCAGAGTTAGGAGTCAACATGAAGTTGGGGGGCCGGGCACAATCATTCAGCTATTAGTGTTATGGGGTGCAGCCAGTGATAGCCAGCACCCATTGACAGTGGGCAAATGAAATGTGACTGTGTCCTCAACCCTCTGTCCTGAAGGTAGGTCCTTGCAATGGAATGTTAATTCCATCCGCAACCACTCCCCCGACCACTTAGGTATTCGCTCCTGCCCACCTGTGACTCACCTATCATCTGAGAAGGGATGGTATTGCATTGTTGTGTAACCACTCCCCTCACAAGCCCTTTTAAAAGGCCTGTGAAGTAGGGACTGGCTCTCTTTCTGGTCAGGTGTTTCCTTTACTCTGGCACCTGACTCTTGGCTGACCCAGGACAGGTGATCCCCTGAGTATGGTCCCTGTATACTGCTTAGATTGGACAATGGATATAGCAATGTTGTTTCTGGTTTGTGTGCTGTCAGGAGTTCCAGGAGAGGTGAGGCCTAGTAGTGATAGAAAGTGGGCAGAGAAGCCAGGGAAAGGTGAATGTCTGCAACTTTTTAAGTGTGTCCAGGTTATTCATTGCATGTCTCTTAGGATAACTTATATTGTTGGGGAAACTGGGTCATAGGTCTTCAGCTTAACAGATGGTCTTAAGGATAATGACCATTTGTTCCTCTTGGGTTATGTTTGGTTGGATTACGTTTGCTTGGATTGTGATTGGTACTTATAATTTGTTATTTCCAGTGTGCTCTATTGTCATCAAGCTTGGTTAATAAAGACTCCTTAATAAACATTAGACATGTCTAGTGCGATTTCACTCACATCCCGAAACAATAGCAAAATAAGATAAGGCCAGTTAAAGCAAAGCGACCAGACTCTCATTTTCCACCTTTGGAAGAGGTTTAACCATTAAGACATTAAACCCCCTTTCTTTGAACAGCTGTTAGAAGGGATGAACTAGTGAAAAAAGAATTCTATTAATCTGGTAGAGAGAGTTGGAAAAGATGTTATTACAGGCCAGCTCACGGATGGAAAATGCTATAGTTGGTGTTTTATACAGATTAAACCTGCACTGTGCTAGAACAGGTTAAGCCTGTGCTGTTGGCATTCCATAGGGGTGTTGACTTGAGCCTGTCTCTTCCACTTCTGATCCAGCTCACTGAAAAAGGAACCTGCAAATGGCCTAAGTACTTAGGTCCCCACCATTCATTTGGGAGGCTGGGATGATGTGGAAGGACATTGTGCCCCTAGAAGGTCAGCGAGCACAGGATTACAATCGATAGGATAATACTTGTATGAAAACTACTGAGTGTGAACCATTTGTACAGCTAAATGGATACCACTTGCATGAGAACAACTGAGTGGACAGCATGTGAATGAGAACACTTGGTAGGATATTCTGATCTACCTTTAGCCCTGCCACTGTTAAGTTTTTTTTTTTTTTTTTTCACTGTAACAGTTAGGGACATCATACCAAATCTGATGCCTGCCTGCACTGCATTTTTTTTCTTGAGGTTTAATTATTTTAAAGATTTATTTATTTTTATTGGACAGTCATATAGAGAAGAGGAGAGACAGAGAGGAAGAGCTTCTGTCCATTGATTCACTCCCCAAGTAGCCACAGCAGCCAGAGCTGAGCCGATCTGAAGCAGGATCCAGGAGCCTCTTTGGTCTCCCACACAGGTGCAGGTTCCCAAGGCTTTGAGCTGTCCTCTACTGCTTTCCCAGGCCTTCAGCAGGAAGCTGGATAGGAAGTGGAGCAGCCAGGACATGAAGCAGTGTCCATATGGGATCCCAGCAGATGCAAGGCAAGGATTTCACCATGAAGCTATTGCATAAAGCCAAAAACAGAATGGTTCTTTCAGAAAAGAAAAAATAATTATGTGTGTACATGCTTATATAGACATAGTAACCTATGAAAGGAAGATTTTTTAAAATTTTCACCAGTAGAACAAATGTATGTCTAAGTTGTGGTTATGACCATATATTAGTACAATTATATTCAATTTCTTGGGCCTGTTAACTTGGGAAGTTAAACCTGAATACAAAGTGTACTAGTTGGAGTCTGCTCTAGTTCTCCTTGTCATATTTATTGAATCAGGACTAATAAGTTTTATTTATTTTTTAGGAAGATGAATCTTTTTTAAAATACTACTTAAAATGCTGCAAAAATACATCCTTATTGATATCTATTGAGCTTTTTGTGTGTATTTCTTTGTTTGTTTTGGACTTGCTGTGCTAGATTTAGTGTATAGAAAATGAAAAAGAAAGTACCAAAAAAAGAAAATGTGCTGCAATAGAAAATTCATGTAAAGTTAAAGCAAATATTAGGAAAATACTTACTTAATTGAATTTGATGTTTTATTTTATCCAAATTTTAAGTTCTGGCAGTTAATTTGTGCACTTTTGTATGCTAGTTTTATGTTTGTAAGTATTTGACTCACTGGCCTGGCTATGTTTTTTTTTTTTTCAATACATTGTTTTGAAAAATTCTTCTTATTTTTTAGTGTCCTAAGCTTTAGTGTCATTTGTTCACTTACTGGTAGCAGCAGACCAAGGAAGCCAAACATAGAAGGAATAGAATCTACTGGTGCAGAATAACATATTGTGTGGAAACTATGAAACTTGCTTACAGTGAAAAGTTGATTTGTTGTGTCAAGGATGAAATGAAGCACTTACTAGCTTTGCCTTTGTAGCCTTCTCTTAAAAAGAAGCATTATGAAAAAGCTAAATATAAGAATGTCCTGATGGAAATCTGTTGTTCTAAATTCAGAAATCTGCAGACTGTTTAGTTGTAAAATGGAAATCAAATTGTTGGTAGCTTATTCAAATTGTTAGTTGATAGCATTGATGTTTTATGTAATGTGACATTCTAGTAACCTGTATAAAAGGACTCTCCATGCTTATTGTTCTAGACTCTGATTAGGAAATGAAATGAGATAAAAATATGCTTGTCTAATTAAATATATGTTGCTCTTTTATTTGTCCTCATTTATGACTGTGTTTTCCTAACAGAGTAGAACAGATGTGATCATAAGTTAACATTTTATCTGCTTTATAAGAACTGGCAAAGGAAATAAAATAAAATTAAAAAAAAATACTTAATATAAGACTTGACAGAAGAAGGATAAAAAAGCCGAAGAGGATTAAGGGAAGAAATAATAAGCTGGTGGAGAACTCAACTGTATCAGTAGTCAATGTAATTCATATTTTAAATAATTCAATGTGAAATATATATATGATCAGAATAAAAAGACACCCAAATCTAGTCTTCAAGAAACCATTTTATAAAGTAGTAAATTGGCTAAAATTAGGGATGCAGAAAACATAAGCTATGTTACCACCAATCAGAAGTTGGAGTGATCATGTTAATATATCAAGGTACATTTCAGAGCAGAGTATTTCTGGATAAAAAGGATCATATGACAAGGGGATTAATTTGTGATAATGTAGAAATGACCCAAACGTGCATTAGACATTGAATGGGTCAAAAGCTGTTATCTATATAATGTAATATTGTTCTGAAACAGAATGAAATTGCTATGAATGCTGCCACGTATGAATATTAGAAACATGCTAAGTGAAATAAGTCACTAAAAAAAACAGTAATTATATGATTCTGTTTATATGAAATGTTTAGAACCAGCAAACCTACAGAAAGAGAAAATGACTAATCATTGCTTAAACTTAGGAAAATTTGTAGGAAAATGAGGAGTGACTAGGCACAGAACTGTGTCTTGGGCTAATGAAAATGTGATTTCTTACTATAATGAGAGCCATGCCCACAAGTTTGATTCTGAATGATGTTAAAAACACAATGGTATGTATTATTTGCATGTATATGTTTGTGTTTGTGTGTGTGTGCATTTTTTTAAGATGTATTGATGTTTATAGATGGTAGGATATGGCCAGGAACAAGCCAGGAGACAGAAGCTCCATCCGCGTCTCCATATTTGTGGTAGGAATTCAAGCATTTGGGCTGTTTCCTTGATGCCTTCCTAAGTCCATTAGTAGGAAGTTGGATCTGAAGTAGAGAAGCCAGTACGTAAACTGGTGCCCCATTGGAGATGATTGTATTGCAAGTGATAGCTTAACTTGCTATACCCAAAGCACCAGCCCACTGAATTTTTTTCTCCTTTTTTGCTCAGTTTTCACAAGACTAGATTAAAAATGTGTGTTTTGGACTTCTGTATGTGCTTGGGTCCAAGGTGAGTGGGAGGGCAGGCAGTAGAATCCAAGGCTGGCACACATGCCAGAGGACTGGATCTGGGAACCCATGCATACTCTTGAGTTCCAAATGGGTCAGTAGGGCTCCAGTTCAACACGCCATGCTGCTGGAAGACTGAGCTGGAGAACTCATGCGATTGCAGGACAGTGGGCTCTTGATTGCTCAGGGAAGGAGATATGGAATGTGAGGAAGGGGAGACTACTGAGGGAGTATGTTACAAATGAGAAATTACTTCAGGGAAACTTCCATCAATAAGGCCACTGTACTTACAGCTAAACAAGGGGGTCAGACAGAACAGTTTTGAGGAGGGAACCTGGATGACCCTTCTGGGTTAGACTGATGCACCCAGTCATGTGGGAGACCTAAGCTGGGGATCTTTAGCATCACCCACTGCCTACCACCACCCATTGGCATACAAAACAACTAGGGCTGGAAACTACTGGTGGGATTTGACCACAGTACCCAACAGTGAGTGTCAGAACAGGATGGGTCATGTTTGGGTGAGCCATGACACTAACTAGGACATGAGAGAACTGGGTCTGGACTCACTCTTTTGGGTATGCAATATCTGCTAGTATACTCAACAGTTAGGGGTAGTGACAGGCCCAACTAGACATGACTGTGGAACTCACCAATACTCATGGGTTCTGGGTTGGGAATAGACTGGGCTGGTCCAGGGTGCAGCACATATAGGTGCACCTAAGAATTGGGTGTGGGATGGGCTGGGCTACAACATCCACCAGCACACAGAAAGACCAAGACTAAGGGACAAACTATATTGGATAAAAACCTAACACCAACTGGCATGTGTAAGATCTGGGTCTGGGAGTGAACATGGTGGGGGAACTTGGGAAACTCCCCTACTGGGTTGTGTAGCTCCTTTGATGAGCACGTGAGTCAGGACTGTGTATAGGCCAGACTAGACAAAACTGCTCCTTGTGTCCGATGTGTGTAAATTGACTCTAGAGAGACAGACAAGGCAGGATCAGGGCAAAGCATAGCACACCAGCATGCACACAGGTTTCAGGATGGGGTGTGGGCCATGTCAGGCTAGGCTATCAAACCTATTGGTCTGCAAGATAGGCAAGGATGGAGGTAAGCCACCAGAGTTAAGCTGCAGTACCCACCAACAAGAATAGGGACTGGGGGCAGACCAAGCCAGGTAAATCTATAGCTTATGATGGCAAGCAGCAAGCTGAAGGATGTTTATGTCAGGCTGGATCAAGGTAACCACTTGTCCATCCAAGATCCGTAGCTTGGAGTGGGCCTGGTCAGGGAATTAAAGGGACTCCCCAGCTGGACTGCACTTCCCACTGATGCACATGAAAGCTGGAATGGGAGTAGGCTGAAAAAGGCTAAAGCATCCCTCAGCATGGGTGTGGACTTGGTTTGGGGTGTACACACTGGCCTTGGCTGCAGCACCTGGTGGCAAATACTGAGGTGAGGTGAGTCATGCCAGACTGGGCCACAGCATCCACTGGCACATGCAAGATGCCCCTGGGGCATGAGCCTGATAGGAGAGCTTCCAAGGGCTACCCTGCTGGGTCATTGCTCCCACTGGTGATCATGAAAGCTGCAATAGAGTCCTTCTATATCTATGTGTTGTATAACCAGATTCAACCAAGCATAGATGGAAAATAAATGTAAAAGACATTGTGTTTACACTTTTTTGCCTTATTACTATTCTGTAGGCAACTACTTATATAACATTTATACTGACCTGGGTATTACAAGTATTCCAGAGATGACTTACATTGCATGGGAAAATGTGCAAATGCTATGCAAAAGTACTGTCAGTTTTATATCCTTTCTAAATCATTTATCTTTATTAAAAAATGGATCACATAAAAATTATGCATCTATATGGAGTCAGTGCCATGTGATGTTTTGATATAAGCAGACATTCACTCTTCAGTAAGTAGAATCAGATTGTTCCCGTGTCTTTGATAATGTGAGTACTGCTGCCATAACCATGGGAGTACAAAGATCTCTTAGAAGGACAAATTTTATTTTCCTTGTATTATACCTAATGCTATGGCATTTGATTCACTGTATTCACCAACAGTCCTAGAAACAATTTCCTATGGCTGAGAAATGATTTTATATGTATGTGTGCATATGTTACATTATGGATTGCATGTATGCACATGCATATCCATCCTTGCACGTAGACATGCTGGTGTGCGTGTGTGTGTGCGTGTGTGTGTGTGTATACACTGTGCAGTTAGTACCATTTCTCTAATCTGACTCTTGATGGTCGCACCATCACCAAACCCAGTATAATCATTTCATAATCTGTCCGTGATTCTGGCTTCATGTGGTTGGTGTCCAGTCCACCCTTTCAACGTTAGCAGGCCTTATTGTTTTTCTGTCTTCTTCAGTAAAAGACCATCAATAGAGCTAGATACCTCAAAAAACAACCTCAGATTTGCTTAAATTTGGACTTTTTAATTATCTATAATAGGTTTTTAAAAGTTAAATATTTTAAGATATTATAGAAAATATTTTATCCGAAAGTTTTAGTTCAATGCTAAAACATTCTCTGCACATCTAGTTTTATTTTCTGTAACTTGAATTGGAAATATTCATATTTATCCTTATAAATATCTTAAATATCTTTTTGAGGGTTTCAACAACATTTAGAGGAGTCCTCAAGTTGGGTATACAAGGAACATTTTAGGTACTAGTATATTTTTAAGAGAAGTGACTTCCTAATCTTTAGCTGCATAAAATTGCTACTCCTACGAATGTGATCTTCTGATTCACAGTTCTCAACTCCTGTCATTGTCAGCCTTCTATTATGTACAAAACAAATTTTAAAAGACACTTCTTATTCTGAATGTCATTTGTTATTAGCTGTATGACACAAAAACATGAGACACTATATTGTTTGTATCTAGGTATTTATTGTATTTGCTGTCTTCATTCCATGATATCTATTATGTAGTAATATACTCTTTTTCTCTCATTCTGTTATTCTATCCTGGGTCACAAATTATATGGGGTTTTTGAAATAACATTAAATATACATAATAAGACAAGTCTTTATAGGAACTAGCTTGCATGATCGTGGTAGTTCACAAATAAAAATCTACAGAGCAGAGCAGCAGCCTGAGAACTCTCTGGAGAGAACTGAGGAGACAGCACAGAACATGGATTTGGTAGGAAGGAACATCATAATCAAGCTTTTAAAAGATATGGTTGTGCATGTAAATGATGGTTTTAAATGAAATACATATGGCCAAATGTTAAGGATTGTTTTAAATGAGTCATCTCTGGATGACAAATGGATAATTTTAAGAATGGATAGCTCCCAAGAATGAGCTTCCTGAGAGTAAATGAAAACAGCTTGTTGAAAAGCCTAGCAGCCATTGTCTTGGCTCATCCAGGGCACAGATCTCTCACAATGCTTCATGATTTCTTAACTCTTAGAATTCAAAGCTGAGATAGCTGTCACAGGAATGTGTGCTGGTAGCTTCATTTTGAGATCAAAGCAAAACTTTTCTAACAACATAAATGTAATTTAAATTCGGCATATCTCTTTGATAGTGAAGACTGGCTACAGCCTTAAAATTGCAAGGAGCAGATCTCTATAAATTGAGTAGATTAACTGCAGCTTTATGGTCCTGATACAAAATATACCAGAATATATCTTAGATTTGTAATTTGAAAGCTAAAGACATCCAATTTAAATAGGTGAAAATAAGATCTATAATTGTAGAAGTAAATGAGATTTGCTGAAAGAGGTTTGAAGACCATTGATATATATTGTCTTCCTTTAATGCTTTTATCATTTTAAGTCACTTGTGAATCAAGTTACTACTGTGGTAATTTATCATTTTAGTAATACGTTTTGACATAAGCAATTCTTAGTTTGTAACACTTAACAATTCTGTTTCATTTAGTTATAAACTACGAAAAGAATAGCCAAAGGGACTATCAAGTTACCAAACAGTTTTGTTGAAAATTAATTTTAATTTTAACATGCCTTAATGACTTTCATTTTTCTTTTAAAGAAATATTCATGTACTTATTTGAAAGGTAAAGCTTACAGAGGGACAGAGACAAGCCGTCTGCCCTGTCTCTTCTTCAGATGCTGCAATGCCCAGAGTGGTCTGGTCTGAAGTCAGGAGCCAGGAGCTTCTTCTAGATCACACAAGGGTGGCAGAGGTGCAAGAGCATCTATTGCTGCTGTGCTAGGCAGGTTAGCAGGGAGTTAGCTTGGAAGTAGAGTGACAGGGACATAACTGGCTCCTAAATGATTTAGTTTGATGACATTCAAAAAGTGTTCATCTTAGTATAATTTCTACCTACCAAACATTGGACAAAATATTCAGATAAATTATTGCATCCCATACAATAGAATGCTATGCATCAGTAAAAATGTATGAACTAATCTTATGATGTATTTGTAAATACATACATATGCATGATTCCATTTAAAGTTCAAAAAACAGGCATAACTAACATATAGTGACTGATTCACAAGACAGTGGTTACCTTTAAGGGCTAATGACTGAGAGAGGGCAAAATGTAGGCTTCTTGAGGTGTTGTTCACACTCTGTGTTTTGATCCAGGTTCTGTTTATATGGTGTTAATCATCACGTAAAAACCCATCAAGCTGCATATACTTTGTTACACTTTTTGTAAAGTTTATGAATAAAAATTCTCATAAGATGTGAAGTTTCTTACTGACAAAAAAAAACCATAACAAATATTTGTTATTCTGTCGTACATGTCTTTTATTGTTGTAGATGCTAGCGATAGCACTCAGCTAAATATTTTCTCAAATAGAATATTATTTAGCCTTAGCCTGTGCAGCCAGTGCAGCTTCCTCACGCCACTTAGCTTTCTTTGCCAGGTTCCAGCTTGTTAAAGATTCATGTCTTTCAGCTGCCTGTAAAACATAACAAAGCAAAGCAAGAGCAACAAAATAGTATGACTCTCTGGAAAATGTATATTTCATATAGACATGAGATACTCCATTAAAGAAAAACAAAAAAAGGAGGACAAAACCCTTAAAACATCACCACAGTGAGGGGGCTTTTCATGCTCATTAAATCCTGCATGTGGACTCTCATTCCATACTGGAGTGTCTGCGATCAGGTCTAGCTCTGCTCCCAATTCCAGCATCCTTCTAAGGTGCATACTGGGAAGCAGTAGGCAATGGTTTAAATCTTGGGTCTCTGCCAACCATATTGGAGATCCAGATTGAGTTCTTGGTTCCGACTCTGGGCAGATCCGGCAGGGGCTCTTCCAAGAATCTGGGAAGTATGTGTCTATCTCTGCTTTTTGTGTAAAATATACATAATACATATATAATATATATAATGCATATTATGGATTATCAGATATATAACAAATCTGCAGGTATAATTCATATTACACATATATAAGATTTAATACACATATAAAATATGTGTATCTTACATGAAAAGATAAATTTACATATGTAACATATATAATATTATCATTTATATAAAAAGATATATACATTTTTTCTAAATCTCATGAATGCCATGCAAAAAATAAGTTCTTTTTATGGAAAACATTACCTAAATTGCTAGTCTTCTGGTCTGTAGAACAACTAATTAGAAATCTGCACTCATCTTCTTTGTCTCATCTTCACAGACATATTTATTGGGTAAAGTATAACAAAAAATATTTTTCAATACTAAATTCTAAAATCTAGAAAGGAAAATTTTGAGATACTAGAAATGAAAGTACTGTAGGCTTTGTGCTTTAAAAACTAATTTATTTTCATTTGAAAGGCAGATTTATAGAGAGAAGCAGAGACAGAGATCTTGCCTCTGTTTGTTTAGTTCCCAAATGACTGAACTGGCTGGATTTGAGTCAATCCAAGGCCAGGAGCCAAGAGCTACTTCCAGTTCTCCCATGGGAGTGCAGGGGCTCAAGGATTTGAGACATCCTCCACTGCTTTTCCCATCCATGAGCAGGGAGCTGGATCGGAAGTGGGCCAGCTGGAACACAGGCTGGCATCCATATGGCTTGCCAACACTGCAAGTAGAGGATTAATCTGATAAACTACTATGTCAGTCCCAGTACAGTAGTTTTAATAAGATAGTCTTCCTATAGTTCTGTGCACAATTAGTATTTTATACCTCATTTATGTTTATATGCATTTTGTAGTCAATTTGTCTACTTCCCAAACAAATATGTTGCTATTAAATGCAATCAGGTGTGTTGAGCATTCTTATTAAAGATCATGAAATATTTAGTAAGGTCTTTTTGTAGCCACTAATAGCCTTTGAAAGTTATCTTTATAAATATTGAAATTCATTGTTAGGAACTGTATATTTTTATTATTTTAATTAGAATCTTTACATTTTTGCATTGATTTCTTGAATAAAGAGAGTCAAAATCTTTAACTCCTATCACAATCTTAAAATTCTTCATTGAGTCTACAATAAAATGAGTATATGTACACATATTTATGCATATACACATAAATATACAGATACACACACACACAAGGCTGCACTATAGAAAGAGAGGGCGAGACAAAGATTTTCTATTCATTATTTCTCAGGTGTATATGAGTCCACTAACTTTAAGTAGGGATCAGGACTTAAAGTTAGTGGACTCATACACTTGAGAATATGAGATGTAGATGAGATCATAAAATTAAGCAGAATGAGAATTAGCTAAATATGTCTAAACAGTGGGGATAGCTAGCCATGCAAACTATTGAAGGTGATGTGACTGCACTGCTAAAATGCAGTATTCACACTGAAGGAAGTTATACTCTGGCTGTAATGGTTCAGTATCACAGAAGAGGAAAGCAATAAACCACAGTGTGTCTAGACGAGAGGTCAAAGATAGAAGAAAATTGTTGGAGATTTGAAGATTGAAGATGTTTTCCACAGTAATGTATTATAGAAATCTCACAGTATTTATGGGCTGCTGTTTATGGTTAAATATGACCAGTAGGTGGAAGGATTTGGGAAACAAATCAAAATTGAGGATTGGTTGCCTTTAAAGTTGTCCCTAAAAGTGTCTAACAGAAACCATACCTTAGGACAGCAAAGTAAGGGTTTATATGCAGGATACGGACCAACTGAATGGCTTTGGTAATCATTTCCAGGTTTTGCATTTAAAAGTCACAATTCCATTCCGTAACTAGTTAAGTTCATGAACTAAGGAACACCGTAATCTGGATAACTTGCACACAACAAAGTTCTCTTTGTGCAGATTTCAACAAGGCAGTAAACAGCCCTGCTTTTGGTTTTGTTCATCATATAGTTGAAACAAGCTTTTGTCCCTCCTGACAATATACTTAATTTGTTTGTTTAAACTTTCACTAACAAGTTTCTTTTCAACATGATAGATTTATGTGGATTGTTCTAGATCTCAAAGACAACATTTTTCTTACATTAAAGTAATAGTCCCTGGGTTGGTATTGAAGTTTAACATTTGCATCCAATATGGGTGTGGTTCATGTCCCAGCTTCCCCACTTCCAATCCAACTCTCTACTAATGTTTCTGGGAAGGCAGTGGAGAAAAACAAAAGGAGAGAAAATGAGGGGAGAGGAGAGGAGAGGAGAGGAGAGGAGAGGAGAGGAGAGGAGAGGAGAGGAGAGGAGAGGAGAGGAGATTGGAGAGGAGAGGAGAGGAGAGGAGAGGAGAGCAGAGGAGACAGGTGGGTGGGTGGGACTGATGGGGTATCACTATTGAAGGACTTTGTTTGCAATTCAGTGACACCCCATCAGTCTCTCAAATTCCTTCAGATCCATAGGTCTGCATCTTAGGGATACTCACCCTTTTACCTGACGCTATTACCGCAAAGCAGGCAATGATTGTAAGTCCGATCATTATGTAACATGCTTTCACGCGAGCTTTGTTTCTTGCAGCATCTATCATTTCCGGCCTAAACCAAGATGTGCGTTTTGTTAAAATAATATGATTTTCTGACAGTAATGAAAAGCAAAACTCATGATTTCTATGCCGCTATTCCATAAATTTCACTAAATGTAAGCTGCAATTCTGAAAGACTGTAAGTAGTATCTCATTTTCTTGCCAATTTCAACTTAACATTTATTTATTCAGATCTTAAACTAATGTTAGTTTCTATTGCCCTACGTAGGATTACTAGAGATTATGGCCTGACACTCCATTATTTTTATTTATTGAAGATAGAACAAACTTAAAATTCATATTTACCTGACTTGTAGTCCTTTAGTTTCTGTTAAATTTTATCATCCATTTTGGATGGGTTACTCTTTAAAACTAATTTTTATCTCTTTTTTTTCCATTGGCCTTCCAATATCTTCCTGCCCCCTTCCCAGCCTATCTCTAAGAAGATTGCTACAGACTTTGGGGAATAACTCCCGAGAACGATTGTTTCTTTCATGATTTTTTTTCAGGAAGTTTTTAATAGAAGTAAAATCACAGTAATTGATTTAAAAAACTCCACCTTTTCGAAAGTTATTATTCTGAAGCTTGTTATGCTTATGTGTCATGTAGTTTTGTTTTTTTTAAGATTTTTTAATATGTATTGCAAAGTCAGATATACAGAGAGGAGGAGAGATAGAGAGGAAGATCTTCCGTCCATTGATTCACTCCCCAAGTAAGCGCCACGGCCGGTGCTGTGCTGATCCAAAGCCAGGAGCCAGGAACTTCCTGCAGGTCTCCCACGTGGGTACAGGGTCCCAAGGCTTTGGGCCATCCTCTAATGCTTTCCCAGGCCACAAGGAGGGAGCTGGATGGGAAGTGGAGCTGCTGGGATTAGAATCAGCGCCAACATGGGAGCTGGGCATGTTCAAGGAGAGCACTTTAGCCGCTAGGCCACTGCACCGGGCCCTAGTCTTATTTTTTAATATTGTTATATGCAAGTTGGTACACAGTTTGGCAGTATTACACAGTGTTATGAAAAGAATTAAAATATATAAATGCATTCATGCCATGGAGTGTTATATTGAAATAATCTTTAATATTTTATAATAATTTGAGGTTGCAGATTATAAATATGTAGAATTAAAGTACTTGCATCTTTAGGATATATTTATATGATGCCAAATTTAAATATAGTTACATAAAGTTGGTTACAGAAAGACAAATCACAATTTCTCTCAAAAATGAAACATTTTTGTACTTTTTCACTTATTAAAGTAGCACAGATGAACTTCCAGTGCCACTTGCATTAAGTTTTAGTCAGAATGCATTGACGTTTTAGGACGTTGGTTGCAACCAGTTCTTAGCAGTGACTGTGGAGATATAATTAGATTATATTTGTTGCTAGCTTTTGTTCCAGACAGAACCTGAAAGATCTGGTTTGTATATCCATCCATCTGGCTCTGATTTGTCATAGTAAATTAATTTAGCACTGAAGAAAGAAAGAAAAGAAAAAGCCTGTTATAAATTGTAGATCACATGTTAATACCATGCGTAACAGGAGCATGGAAAGTGATCATTGTTTATGTTTTAAAGCTTGCAGTTTAACAGCAGTGGCCTTCCTAAACTGCAATGCCAAAATCAAAAAACTATACAAAATAATAAAAGGAAAAATATTCAAATACTTTCATGCTTGCAGCTCAAAAAACTAAAATATTTTTTCTTGGCATCCAGCTCATACTTAAATGTTCCTGCTTAATGCTATTTCTTTTGACTTTTCACAGGACATTGCATTTTTTTTTTCTACAAAAACGTTTCTCTTCATCTATACAGCAAACTAATGTAACATGAACCACATTTTCTTTTGACAGATAGTACATTATTACAATGATGGTTCTTTACACTACTGATGCTCTTTTGTCAAACTAGAAATAAAAATCCAACCTGAAAGTGTTTTCCTTTCTTTTTCATTTTGTTGATTTTCTTTCTAGTTTGTCATTGAACATATTACATTTGTAGGCATTATGTGAAATTTGATAGAGTTTACGATGAAACGACTAACTTCGACTTGTTTGACGTCTGTACTTTGGAGTCTGCAGAGCTCAAGGAAGACAGTTTGTTCTATGCTATTAAGAAATGTTTCTGTCACTGAACAAATGTGGAAAACGCATTTCAGATGCCATGCCGTCTCAAATTCCATACCCACGCCTCAATAACTAAATCCAAAGAAGGAATAAAAAATGCTCAAAATCTTTGTTGGGGGTACATTTATACCCACAGCCATTTCTTTGAGATGCTCTTGGCATCTACGTAATAAATGTCAGGCAATATCTGATAATCAAGCTGTAGGCCCAGTTTTCATTATTCATTCTAATTGGTGTTAGATAATGTTACAAACGTAATACTGAACATTGGAAATCCTTACTCAATGTTACACTTTGCCTTCCTATTTATGTTTTAAAATGTTGGTTTCAAAAAGAGTAGATTGATTTTGTTCTGTTTCTTTCCCTTTACACCTACTCCCTTGTAAAAAGGTTAGAAACGTTTTTGTACCTGACACCAACTGAAACTAGAAAAACTGCTGTTTGTTAGTTATATTGACTTGTGTTTATTACTCTTGTCATTTCATTACAAGGCACGTAACCCTGGAGGTGACGTTGTTAGCTTGAGCTTTATCACTTAGTGAACCTCCACTTGAAAGGTTAGGAAGGAGGAGTGACCAATCAGGCTGAAGCACCGAGTAAACCTGTGGGGAGAAGGCAGTGGCGCCTTGTCTTCTTCCTGGCTCTCCACCTGCCTGCCCCTGGGGACACTAATCAGAGGACCTGTTCTTGGGTGGAATACCAGCCTCCTCTGAACTCAGCTCTGTCCCTTGGTGCCCCAGCAGCCACCCCAGTCACCGTGCCTTGTATTTGGCTAAGTGCTCCATTACCCGACATCTTTTAGAGATCGCTGGGGTCCGGAATCTGGATGAGTTTGGAAGTGTTCCTTTAATGTGTCGGTTTCTAATTAACTTCTGCAGTCACTGTGTGAGCCTGGCTGCCCACTATCCAGTCAACGAACCTGACATTAGCCTTGCTGGGAGAGTGTTAGATAAACTCCCTAAGGATGCGTGGGTTCCGCATCCCTATCGTCTGGAGCCCAGCTTTCCCACGCGCTCACCCCTTCCAAGACGCTCGCCAAACTTACGGGACCTCGGGCGGGATCTCCTCCATGGATTTGAATCTCCCGGTCCACAGCAGTATTTTCTTGTCGAATTGTGAGGGCTTGTACTGACCTGGGATTCTGTGAACCTTCCCTACTGGGAGGGAGACAGAGATTGACTCGGCAACTCACAAACCTCCCGCAGGGTAAGAGCGCCCGCCCTCCAGGATCCTTCATCTCGTGTTCCCTCACCCCTAGCTCCAGGACTTTCTCATGCTGAGTCTTTGCTCACCTTGACCTTGTTGCCCAGAGCCGCTTGGGACTCCACCGCTGGAATAGCAGGCGAGACCACGAATCCGGAGACCAGGTGTGAGCCGCTGAGTGGCTTCTTGACAGGCTTCGGGAGCGCAGCGGACCGCGCTGCCCAAGCCGAGGCACAGCAGGCTGCCCGCTGTCCTGAGCATGATGCTCTTCTTCCACCTGGCAACAGCTTCTCTTCCTGATCTGGGGAGCCCAGAGGAGCATCTGACGCCTGCCTCTTAGCCCAGAAGAGCATCTGATGCCTCCTGCACGTCCCCGTTGAGTTCCCAGTCTCCGCCCCCTGCAGTGACCCAGGACTGGGACGTGAAAGTCCTACTAATTCCCTGAGGAGCATCTTGCCTCTGTGAAAACACTAGCTCAAGTCCTCAGAGAGAACTCTGGCAGTTCATGTTGAACGCATGTCTTTGCTTTGAGTGTTTCCATCAGGCTTTCAGTACCCAGGAGAATAAAATCTAAACTCTGTCCCGGAACACACAACAGACCTTCAAGCGTAGAGAACTTCAGATGTTTACTTTGTCAACTGTAAGTGCATCCAACAAAATTCTGGTTCCCTACGAGAAGACAGTTTGATATTTATTCCTCATCCTTTCCCACTCAGACTTTCTCTATTCTAGCCAAAACCACTTAGGTGTTTCTCTTCGCCTTTTCCTGTTGTAACAAACCCCCAGACTGTGTTTTCTCTGTTACCTTCCACCAACTCTGCTAAAAGGAATAATTTCCTGTTCTCAGGCATTGGGAGCAGACTCATGATTCTGGAAAGGACGTGGAGTTTGCCTTTACATCTTGGTTGAAGGAACTGTTTAACAATCATGAGCTTTTAGGTTCATTCATTCAGTGACTACCAAAAACCAGCAGTGTGTCAGTTTTTACAGCCAGGTATGAACCAGTGTCAATGTCTGGCGGGGATTCCTGGAAAAAGAAAAATACAGGCAAGTGAAAACAAATAATCATGGATGGTGTGAAAGGCTATATGTATTTAAAACTAAAAAAAAATGTTCTGATTGCTGAAAAAATAGGCAAGATGAAACAAAAATGCTAGATTTCTTCATTAAGGAAAAAAAGGGCATAAAATAGCATTTCAGAAAAATATCATTTCCACAAAAGGCAGAGCATTTTAATTCGTGAAATGTCCTTTTGGGAACTGTGCATTATTTGATGGGAAGAACTTGTTATCATATTCCCCAGAATAGTTGAAAATTTTCACGTAAAATATTTCATAAATATTTGTTAAATAAATGCAAATCTTTAAAAATAGACTTCATCTGGGTTATTGTAAGACTGAAAAATGTCCCTTTCAACTTTATATCTTCTCCATCCATGTTGCTTAACACATAGCAGTTTCCAAATAAATATTTATGGAACAGACTGCGTGAATTCCTGCCTGGGAAAGTATGTTGCCATAGGAAATATCTGATTATTCCAGCATCATGATACTTGAAAACTTTCCAATTATTCAAAAGCAGATTTTCCCCCTCTTTGATGTGTGTTCTTCATGTTACTGAAAGGAAAACTCCACAACTAGAGAAAAATTGTCTTAATAAATGCACTGCAAGATCAGACCACATAAATTGGCTGGGTTTTGAGTTTGGTGAGCCACTTGAGTCCCACATGAAACCTCACTTGGTATGACCTCAGCTTTACTTGTGCATGCCAGTTAGTGTAGGGTCAGATTTGGTTTGTCACATGCACCAGCCAATGCACATAATGGTAAAAGAACTACTTATTTAGTTCTGCCCCCAACCCCATCTCTCACAAGAACTGACAGGTGCTGCAGCCTAGCCCAGTTCAGCTGGCCATAGGCCCAGTCGTCACCCACACCATTACGTCATGACCTAGCTGGGATGACCTATAAAGGGTCCCACCAGGCCTGTCCCCACCCCATATTTTTGTGCATGCTGCTATGTGCTGTGTCCTAGCCTAGTCTATCCTGTATCCCTCCTGACTCTCGTGCACACCCATGGGTGTTGCAGCTTAGCTCAGCCCATCCACCCCCAGACCCAACCCAGACTTATGTCAATGGTTACTGTTGCCATTACCAGCCTGAACTGCCCCTAGCCATAGCTCTCATGCTCACCAGTAGGAACTTACCTATCAAGGGAGTGCCCATAGTATTCCTTCAAGGCCAACGCCCAGCCTCAATTTTGTGCCTACTAGGGGTTATTGCAGTCCATACTGACATGACTTATACTCAGTCCAGGCACTTGCCAGCTGGTGCTGATGCCAAACCCTGTTGGCCTACACCTATCTGGTTCCCCTATGTGCTAGGGGGTGGGTGCAGCCACCCAGCGCAGTCTGGCCCATGCTCAGACTCATTCCAATTGCTAGCTGATGAATGCTATAGCCCTGTTCAGGCAGACTCATCTGCACTGCCAGCTCTCAAGTGCACCAGCAGAAGCAGTAACTCAGCAGGGGTGTCCCTGAGGTTCTACTATAAGGCCTTTTCCCAGCCCCAGACCTTTTATGTGCCAGCAGGTGCTGTGGCCCAGTCTGAGATGACCCATCCCCAGGCTAGCATTTGCCAGCAGATGATGCAACCTGGTTCAGATTCACCTTCCCCCAGTCACAGTTCCTGACAGTGGTTGCAGCAGCCTAGCCCAGCCTGGACCACTCTCAGCTCCAAGCCCTCTTGTGAACGGGTGGGTGTTGTCAAATCCAGGCTGGCCTACACCCTGTCCTGGCTATTGCTCATGCCAGTGTCTGCTGTGGAATGACCAAGCCTGGCCCATCCCCAGGCACTTCTTACTGCTCACATGCATTCCCAGCCCGTCTTGGCCTGCTCCCAGGTATGGCTCTTGCACTCACAAGCAGAAGTTGTAGCCTAGCAGGGGACTTCCCCAAGTTCTCCTAATAGGTCTACTCCTAGCTCTGTGTATCATGAGTGCCAGCAAGTGCTGTGGTCTGGCCTGATATGGCCAGTCCCTAGTGCTGGTACTCACCTGCAAGTACTATGGCCTAACCCAACTGATCTGCACACATTCTGGTTCTCATTGATGGGTACTACAGCTTAGCCAAGCCTGGCCCAATCCAGACTTTGCTCTCATGTATTTGGCAAGTATATGGCCTAGTCTGCTCTGTTCCATACCTATTTTGGTTCTTGAAATCACCAGTGGGAGTTGCAGCCTACCAGGAAGTTCCCAAAGTTCCCCCAACAGGCTGCTTCCCAGCCCTGGAGCTTGTGTGTGCTAGCAGATGCTTTGACTCAACCTGTCCTGCCCACAGTCTCAGCTCACTGGGTGTTGCAGCCTAGCCCAGCCAGCCAGTCTTCACCTTATCCTGGTTCTTAAGCACCCTGTATTGGTCCTTATGCATGCTAGTGGGTATAGTGGCCTGGTGACCTAGGGATTCCCAAACCCAGCTCACACAAATGCTGACTAGTACAGACTTGCCTGGCCTGGCCTATCCCCAATTCTGGATTTTGTGCTCTCCAGTAGGAGCTTTAGCCTAGCAGATGATCCCTACGTTCTCTTACCTGGCTTGTTTCCAGTTTTAGATCTCACATATGCCAGTGGGTGCCACAGCCCTACTTGGATTGCTCTGCCTCAGTGCCAGCCTATGCATGTGCTGGTGGATTGTGCAGCATGGCCCAGCCTGGTCTCCTCCCTGCCCCAGCTTCCATACGTTTCAGATGAGTTCCTGTCTGATGAATTCCGTGGTTCAGTGTGGCTTGGCTCATTTCCACCCTCAACTTACATAAGCCAAAGAACGCTGCACACCCAGAGGTGAGCCTAAACATTCACTACATAATAAGCCCCCAGATCCAGTTCTCTCATATTTCATTGTGTGTTATGGCCCAGGCTGATGTGGCCCACACCTTAGCCTGGCACTTGCAGGCAGGTACTGTGGCCTAGACAAGATGAAATTACCCTCAGCCCCAGCTTTTGCTTGCACCATCAGGCAAAGGCATTGCTACTTAGCACAGACTAGGTCTCCCATGTGACTGAATACCTTAACCCAATCAAGACATGCCCTCTGGTTCCTCCCATAACTTCCTTGCCCACCTGTGTGTTCAGGGAGGGGAAGAGGGAAGGAAGGAAGGAAGGAAGGAAGGAAGGAAAGAAGGAAGGAAGGAAGGAAGGAAGGAAGGAAGGGAGGAAGGAAGGAAGGGAGGAAGGAAGGAAGGGAGGGAAATAAAGAGAAAGAAAGAAAGAAAGAGAAAAAAAGAAGGAAAGAGAAAGAAGGAAAGAGAAAAAGAAAAAGAAAGAAAGAAAGAAGGAAAGAAAGAAAAGGAAAGAAAGAAAGAAAGAAAAGGAAGAGAAAAGGTAACTACTATGCTGGCATACTTGTATAATTAACACAAATTTGACATTAACCAAGCCCAGAATGCCCATCAGCTATTGGCTACCTTTCTCCCAGCGGTGTAACACTTGCCTAAGTACAAGATAACCTATGTAGTTGCCTAATGCTGGAGAACATTTTACAATCTAGTTTTCTATCCCTGTTTGGGTTAGAATATCATTACTTGGCAATAGTCTATATGTAAAATAAATTACAGCTGTGTGAGAGATGTTTTCTTTCATTCTAAAAATAGAATAAGTGAAAAATTTTGAGTCATCTCTGAATAGAAAAAAATGATGTTTTTTTTTTAATTTCTTATTTTTAGTTGAGACTCTAATCTTCTTCATCAAACAAATGATTACCTATTAAGTATTTGTATTGCTCTGGACACTGGCCTAGGCTCTGAGGTTACCTTCAATAAACTCCTCATGTTCCCGTGAGACCTCTGCCCCAGAGCATAGAGATGTTTTAATTTGAATTCATTGCTACAGTTTTTTCATTTTGAGGGTTTCAGTTTATTCATCTCATTCTATGTGATTTGTTAATTCAAAGATCCATCTACTGTACCAAAATCTACTGATTTCAATGCTGTTCTTTCAAGACCATTTTTTGATTAGTGTGGTTTACTTTTCTATTTCCCACAACTAATTTAATGCACATTAGTATAACTAGGAACATATTTCAAATAAAAAATCATGAAACATCATAAAGGCTGGTCTGGTGAGTGCTTGATTACCCACTATGTTATTAAACATGTACTTGGGACACCCATAACAGAAGAGGCACCACAGCAAAGGGAACATTTTTGAAATTATAATGGCAATTTAAACTGAAAATGTGAGAGGCACATCAGAAGTTTGTTGAATGT